CGTGCCTTCTTTCATGGTATGAAATGATATGCATGTCATTGTCTGACAGTAAACATTGGGTTTTTTGCAGGAAAGAGTTCTGAACTTTGTGCATGATGCTTACCATGATCAATCAAAAAATCTTATTGTGCCCGAGTCTCTTGGAATGCCGAGAGATGCGTCTAGCAGGCAAGAACTTGCTCAGCTCAAGAAGTACCGCGCTAAGAACAGGTAAAAAAGAAACCTGCCTCGAGCAGCGATAAAGATCGAACAATAACTGTTACACTAATAAGAAAGCTGATAAAAAATGTGCATAACTTTTCTTTGTGATAGGCATTTTGTCAACCGTGATGCTTGTTACGACATCATCGAATGGATAACCCAAACCCAAAGCGAATCCATGGTTTCGCTGTAAAAGAAACACGGAGACAACCCCTGCAGAGCTCGATTCCTTCAGGAGGTGAGGTTTCTCAAGTCTCATTGCTTTTCATCCTACATCTGGCTCTGGACCTGAGTTTGTACAAGCAGATACTGGGGGAAAGAAAGTGTGTTATCATACTTGGTCGTGGAGACAAATGAGAAAACACTGGGAAAACACTAGCCATACAGTCTTTGTAATGGAGTTCGCTATGGGAAAGAAAGTGTGTTATGATACTTGGTCATGGAGACAAATGACAACAAAAAATATTACAGAACACAATGTGTATTTGTTTGTGGAGATCACTGATATTATGAAAGGTAAAAAAAAAAAAATCGCAGTCAAAGAGAGCACACAAGTATATCAACTTATAGTTGTAACTTGTAAGGATACAAGTGTCGTGACTCGTGAGCAGTGATATCAGTTTCAAACTCGGCGTGCTGGCCGGCTGGCAAAAGCTTTCTATATATAGTAAAGCCATACAATTATAGATCAGCAAGAAAAGAGGCCAGGAGTGGAAGAAGAAGAAGAAAAAGAAAACCATTAATACACAGTATGGATAGCGCATTAATGGGATACTATTTGCTACCGTTCCTACTCATCATCGTCGCCGGCGTGTGGTTGAGGAGCAGGAAGAGGAAGAACAACAACCAGAAGAAGAAGCTAGCACCACCAGGGCCATGGCAGCTGCCCTTCATCGGCAACCTCCACCAGCTTGTGCTGCTGAGCATCACCACGCATCTGCCGCCGCACCAGCTCGTGCGGCGGCTGGCCCGTGAACACGGGCCCGTGATGCGGCTCAGGCTAGGCGAGGTCACCACCGTCTACCTCTCGTCGGCCCGAGCCGCCGAGCAGGCGATGAAGGTTCACGACGTGGCCTGCGCCACGCGGCCCTTCAGCGCCGTAGGGGAGATCATCCACTACGGCTGCAAGAACCTCGTGTTCCTCCCCTACGGGGAGGAGTGGAGGCGGCTCAGGAAGCTGTGCGTGGTGGAGCTGCTGAGCGCCAGGCGCGTCCTGTCGTTCCGCTCCATCAGGATGGAGGAGGTCTCCAATCTCGTCACGAGATTGGAGACCACCTCCCAACAGAAGGAGAGAGGGCAACAGTCAGTGGATCTGAAGCCACTGCTGCTGTCCCTGGCCAACGTGATCACTTCTCGTTCGGCTTTCGGGATGGACTCATCCCGGGAGCTGAACGAGGAGTTTGTCGGGATTGTCGAGGGTGTGATGGGTTTGTTTGGAGCCTTCGGGCTCTCCAAGATGTTCCCTTCGCTCAAGTTTCTGCCTGTCATCAGCGGGTTTCGATCCAGGGTTATGGCCCTGCATCGAGCAGTGGATTCGGTGCTGAACCAAGTCATCAGGCAACACATGGTAGCTAGAACTAGAAAAGTTCATGGTGATGATGTAACAGAGGATCTTGTGGATATTCTTCTCAACCTTCAACTAGATAATGCTGACCAGGCCTTCCCCTTGACCATGGATTCTGTCAAGGCTGTACTCCTTGTAAGTATCTCTATCGGACCACCGATACTGTACGATTTTACAAATACTGGTATTGATATCACCGCAACGTACAAAGTTTGACTAATGATTCATCTGTGATATACACAGGATATTTTTATTGGTGGGACTGATAGCACAGCGGTAACGATAGAATGGGCGATGTCGGAAATGATGAAAAATCCAGGTGTGATGGCAAGGGCTCAAGCTGAGGTGAGAAGTGTCTTTTCCGACCGTGTTAGTGAAGAAGGACTCGGCGAATTGGTGTACTTGAACGCGGTAATCAACGAGACTCTTCGGTTGCACCCTCCGGGTCCGATGCTTCCAAGGCAAAATCAAGAGAAGCTGGAGATCGATGGCTTCGAGATCCCGGCAAAAACTCCAATCATGGTCAATGTCTGGGCCATGGGAAGAGATCCGAGCTACTGGCCCGAAGCCGAGAAGTTCGACCCGGACAGGTTCCTCGGCTCTTCGATCGACTACCGAGGAACACATTTCACGTTCCTGCCATTTGGCGCCGGAAGAAGGATGTGCCCCGGAATACAATTTGGTATGGTCACCGTTCAGCTCGCGCTGGCAAATTTGCTCTTTCATTTCGACTGGAAACTGCCCCACGGAATGAAACCCGAAGATTTGGACATGAGAGAGGTGTTCAAAATCGGGCTCAAGAGGAAACAAAACCTATGCCTGATCCCCGTTCCCGTGGCAAGTAGAAATTAAACCCTAGTGTGTTTTGTTTGTGTATTTATGAATGGTCAACAAGGTGATAGACATAAGGCAAGTGTTAGGATTTTGTTTAGCGACTAACTTGTTTAAATGTTGTTTAAGCATGTTTAGCTAGGAGATGGAAGCAAAAGTAGTACTTCGTATCAAATGATTAATAAAATAATTTTCTTGCAACACTTATCCGCTTGAGTCCATATGATTAACAATTTAGCTATCACTTAACAATAAGAAACATAGCTCACACATTCATATAATCATAGCTCAATAGTCCACACAAAAATAATGGCTCAGGCTCACACACTCAAAAATGATAATTAGATTTTTCATATTTGATATTTATTATACATACATAATATTGTCATGGGAATCATGTTGTTTTAACTAATTATTCTCGTTCTAGTGATTTACGGCAGTATTTTTTTTAAAATGACCAAATCGTGAATACTCGAAATCCGATAAGAGTATGAGTGTAATTTGATATACTAGTTGATTTTTATTTGATTACGAGTACGAATATGGATAAACTCAAACCACTTTAAATAGAGCCATGGTCAAACAAAGTGTGCATGGTGAGATCTCTTGTGACGACAAAGGGAAATTCTTTTCCAAATGACGACTTCTCATTTCCAGTTTTTCGGTGCCCATTGCCTGCTAATGCTATATATAGGTATCTCACCTCTTCCTGTACGAATCAGCAACCATGACACGACCCAACACTCAAAATTGTTTTTGTTTTCCAAATATTATTCGATATATTGGTCACAAATATTAATTGGTTACATTACTGTGTTACAAGTAGTGGTGCACGTGGGTGGTGGTTAATTCGCGTATTGAAAATGTAGCTCCCACGAGGCCACGACCATTGCCATATCACATAGAATTTGTACGTTTGTGATCGTGTCTTGGTATAAAGAATGGTCCCAGAATGTCCGAGCAAATGTTTAATAATTTTAGCGACCAGGATTTGTCGTTTCCCGCATAGTGGTCGCAAATGAAATGACAAATGGTTGCTGAAAGTTTTCGTTATTAGCGCCTATCTGAAGCCGTGGCTGAAAGTTGTCGTCATATATTAACTATTAAGTTGATTCTGAACAATACATGTGTCTCGTGCAGACAACCGTCATATTAGTGTCCCGATGAAGTATATCATACTCTACGCAATTTCACTATTTGAGTTTATAGAATCGAGTTGATCCACTATATACTATTGTCGATACCTTAAATTCGCTTGAGTTAAAAATATAGATAGAGATATCTCATTAATTAGTACTATTTTAGTACTATTTTTTGGAGTATAGTATACTTATGAAATACACTAAGTTGTACCATAACATAATTGTACAAATTGCTTTATGGTACAACCTAAACTTATACATTTAATGTTATGGTACAACTTTAAGTTGTACATTAAAGCACCAATACTATATAGCATAGTAGAAGTGCTCCCTATATATATGTGTAATATTTCATCATTAAACCGAGCGAAAACATATATGTGTATGTATATAAATGAATTTGCATGAATTATCGATAGAAATCAGTGGGGAAAATATAAGTTATATATGTACATGAAATTGACGAGACAATTTTTCATTTTACTTTTTAACGGGTTTATTTTTATTTTGGATGTATCGTCTTTTGTTTTAATAACTTTTACTCTTTAACACAATAGGCGAATCACAAAATTATAAATCATCAGAGATTCACGAACTACAAGGAACGATTCAATCTTAATTAACAAGACGCGTTTTAAAGTGCGATTTACCGAACCACAGTCTCACCTAGAAACAACCCCCATCCAAGTCCGTTCTTCTATTTATGAAACTCCCAACCCCAACATCACAAACAGAAACACATCGGTAAAAAAAGTACTCTGTTCTACTTGTTAGAGTGTGGTATAAGATCCAGCAGAACCCTCTCCCAACAACGCGAGTTATTGGGAGCAACTGGTTCCTGACATGGTATCAGAGCCTCGAACCAAAAGGTCACGTGTTCGAATCTCCACGACCCCCAATATTAACTGTTGTCTTTCAAGCACATGGTATGGTGGGCCTGTGCAAACTTCAAGCCCATGGGTTGGCTTTCGTTTGAGGGGGCGTGTTAGAGTGTGGTATAAGATCCAACAGAACCCTCTCCCAACAACTCGAGTTATTGGGAGCAACTGGTTCCTGACACTACTTTCCCTCCAAAAAAAAAAACAAATGGCCTCACTAAAATTCATCCTCCTCAGACAACAATCGCCGGCGGCAACAACCCCACTCCGCCGGCGCCGCCGCGGTCTCTTCCCCTTAGCGCTCCGTCAAGAATCTCCTGCCGGAAAACCCAATCCGAACCCCAACTCCCTCCAGGTCCTCCCAAACTTCCCCTTATCGGAAACTTGCACAACCTGATCGGCGCGCTCCCTCACCACGCGCTCCGAAACCTCGCCGCCGAATACGGCCCAATAGTCCACCTCCAGCTCGGCGAAATCTCCGCCGCCACGTGGGGCTGCCAGAACATCGCCTTCTCGCCACACGGCGAGTACTGGAACCAGATGAAGCGGATCTCGCTGACCGAGCTTCTCGGGCCCCGCAAAACCCGGTCCCTGCGCGGGGTCCGAGAAGCTGTGGTCAGCGAAATGATCGAGTCGGTCAGGAAAAAATCGGTCGGGAGACCGGTCAACTTAACCGAGACGTTTCTCGGTATGACCAATACGATCACCTGCAAAACCGCGTTCGGGTACCAGTGCGTCGACCAGGACGAGTTCCTGGGGTTGACCCGGACCGCGGTTCAGGCCGCGGCCGGGTTCAACCTCGCAGATCTGTACCCGTCTCTAGGGTTTCTTCAGGGTCTGACCGGTTTGAAAAACCAAGCTTCTGGGTCTCCGAAACGGGTTGGACCGGATCTTCGACAAGATCATCAAGCAGCATGAGGAGAAGAGGGCTGAGAAGGGGGAGGTGGAATTGGATGATGAAGATCTCATGGATGTTCTTCTCCGGCTTCAGGGGAGCGGCGGATTCAAATGTCCCATCACCACCACCAACATCAAAGCCGTCCTTGTGGTAATTAATTTTAATTCAGCTATAAAAATGTGTAGTAGGAGTGTAGGACGGTTCAAAATTCAAGGAGTGAAAAACTGTATCGGAATGGACCAGAAAAACTTCCTATCAATAGCGGGTATGAAACGGTTAAATTACGGTTAAATCACGGTTTCAACACAAAATATTCTATCGCCGACTTTTTCTGTACAACCTCCGGTACGATTTTTCAATCATTGCTTCAAGTATGTCATTTATGAACCTTTTTTACTACGTGGTTCTTTCAGGATCTTTTTATAGCGGGAACGGACACCTCAGCAACGACGATGGAATGTGCGATGTCGGAAATGATAAAGAATCCACGGGTGATGAAGAAGGCTCAGGCCGAGGTACGGGAAGCGATGAGAGGCAAATCGATCGTCACGGAAGCAGACATTCAGGACCTGCCGTATCTGAACCTGGTGATCAAGGAGACTTTCAGGCTGCACCCGCCGGCACCGCTGCTGCTTCCGAGGGAAAGCAGAGCGAACTGCGTGGTCGCCGGCTACGAGATCCCTCGGAAGACGAAGGTGATCGTGAACGCGTGGGCGATCGGGAGGGATCCCGGGATGTGGGAGGACCCGGAGACTTTCGTTCCCGAGAGGTTCGACGGGAGCGAGATCGACTTCAGAGGGATGCATTTCGAGCTGATCCCGTTCGGTGCAGGAAGGAGGATATGTCCTGGAATCGCGTTCGGGATGGCCAACATCGAGCTCCCTCTGGCTCAGTTGCTGTACTATTTTGACTGGGAGCTCCCCCAAGGGATGACCGTTGAGAACTTCGACATGGACGAGTCTTTTGCAGCCACCATGGGAAGGAAGAACCCTTTGTATTTGGTACCGAAGGAGTTTAACGTGTCTGATGATCAAGGTGGTGTTAATGGAAGTTTTCCTGAACTGTTGGAGACTACTGCAAGTTAATCCTAAGCTAGCCCAGAAATAATTGGGGGATTATAATATGAGCAGATTATATTTGGTGACGGGATCAACATGACGACTAATGAGCTTTAGGATTTAAATGATAAAAAGTTAAAGGTTAAATACACTTGTATATCCAAAACTTTCACGGTCGTGCCAATAATATCCAAATTTTCCAAAATACCACTTATATCCAATTTCTTTACATTCTTTAACGGTGTTTTTGGATATACAAGTGTATATAACCAAAAATATATTGGGAAATGGATATATTTGGCAAAGAACAACTTTAAAACATGGATATAAGTGGTATTTCGAGAAATTTGGATATTATTGGCACAACCGTGAAAGTTTTGGATATACAAGTGTATTAAACCAAAAGTTAAACCTAATAGGCTAGATTGAAAGAGATATTTTAGAGAGTGAAGAATATTAGATAATATGAAACCAAAGCATCGATCATTCAGCGACGAATTTGAATTTTTCCCGACGAAATTCTGTCGCAGAACTTATTGCAACGCTATGGCGACGAAGCCTTTTCCGTTACGAAAAATGTTTTTGTGACGAATATATGACTTTCTGCGACAAGGCTTCTGTCGCAAAAGGTTTTATTTCTTTTAGTGACAGGTCTCGACGGCAACAACATCAGAGAAAATTTTATTAGTGATTTTATGTATTTTTAGTAGCCATTTACCAATTTGTAAGTAATTGTAATGATTAATGTAGTAGCAATTTGATGATTTTAGTATTGCTTTCAAGCTTTGTTATTGCCAGTAGTTGCTAATGGCGAATTGAGTAGCCAGAATCAATGTTTTATTTTATCAAATCGATGCAGCCTGCATCATACCTTTCATTCAAAATCAGCCGGGGTTATTCCGTGACAATCATACATAGTCCAGTTATACATAATAGGATCGGAGGGAGGAACAACATGAATACCTAAGGGCATAGAATGTCCTCTACTCGCTAAGTAATCAACACACTTATTATCTTCTCTATAAATGTGGGTAACAAAGACAACCCACTGTCAATGAAGCAACTCATGCGCTCCATCAATGACGGTTGTCTATGAAGAAACCCACTAGAATCCTTACTCCGAAGCAGCTGGTAAGCACAGTCAGAGTCCAACTCCAGACAAACATGACGATAACCAGCATCCCAAACTAACTGCATCCCTTCAATGGCGCCCATCAACTCCGCCCGGTTAATTTTGTCCCTCGTACACAACTGCTTTCTCTTTCCCCGGTACCACCTTCCCGCTTTCAGTGACGTACATTGCATCACCAATTACTGATTTTTTTATAGCGACCAACTACAAATTCCGTCATGAAGGTTACATTTGTCACCAAAATTTATGGTGACAGTTCCTTTTATACTGGTAACTTGCTTGTTAAATCAAATATTTGACATGATAGAGTTAACTATATGAGAATTATGGTTTAAATTCACGTGTTTAAATATATATGGATATAAGGATATTCTATCACTTTTAAAAAAACAACGTTCCTTTAAATGGAATCAGAATCTTTGACCAAATCATCAAGAAATGATTGAAATCGGTAACTTAATACACCGCAGTTTCCAACACAACCATAAAATTTTGTTTTACTAAGCACGTGAAGAGTCAAGAGATATGTGAAAATTTCATATCGTGTAATCTAAATTTCGTTACAAGGAACGTATTAGAAAGTAGGGCTTAATCTGTGGTTAGGTTATGGATTTGGGTATAAACAAAATCTTTGACCAAACCATCAAGAAAATATCGAAATCATAGATTTGAAAAGACCAAGACCGTGATTAACTATATGATTACTATCCATGTGTATCGGGCAGAGAAGCAAGCATATGGTTACTGGATTAGTAATTAAATTAAGGTTAAGTTAATCACTTTGATGAATAATAATAATAATAATAATAATAATTGCATAAAACCTCACATCACTTTCACATGCGCACACGCCCGGATCGATATTTTCTTTACTCAGAATTTTGCGGAACGAAATACCGTGCAGTGCAAACCACCTAATAAATTTCGTAACGTGCAAACCAAGAATAATTAAATTAGATACGACAAAATAAGTATTTATTAATTACTCCCTCACAGACTTACTATATATGAACTTGCGATGCCATTTTTTGACTTCCTGCTTTGATTCAATCGACAGAGACTCATTCTCCAATGAAATATTTTTTTTTACAGCATCATGCAGGGATTTTTTTTTCTTTCTTCATTCCAACCATTTGCAGTGAACTTGAGTTGCCAGTTTTTGACCTCCTGTGCATGCCTCGAAGAATATAATAATATAATTAATAATCGGATTACATAGTAACTATAGGATTAGATATATATACCCACTCTCTTATACCTTTCCTGCACGCAGTGGTCTTCATTCATACATAACATTTTAATGGCCATATTTATTTCATGTTCTTTAAGTCATGGGTTTTCCTTTGAAATTTATTATTATTATTATTATTAGGATCCATCTTAGTGACAAACTTAACCTTAAATTAAATGAAGGTTAAGTTTTTCAATAGGTAGCGTAGCCATATGCTATCTTTAGTGTTAATACTTAATATTCTATAGTGAGAGAGTTGGCACTCTAATTAATAGCCTATATGTAATATGCTTTGAGAAGAAGTTCTACACAGTGACACAACCTCTAAGTCTTAATGAAATTTTTGATTAACCATAAGAAAAAAAGTTTGAGTACTATCCCAAATCTCACAATATTAAGTTGGAACAACAACTAGTCAGTCAGTAGCCGGCTCTTATTATTTTTAATATAAAGTACCTAATCGCTGCATTTTCCGGTACAACCTTGCCGGTTTTACAATCTTTTAACAACGAACAAACGGAAACTAGCTAGGCACTTCTCAGGTTGTAACCACCATCCACCATGAGGTTCAGCCCGCTCACGAACTGCGACTCGTCGCTCGCAAGGTAGAGAGCCGCCTGAGCGATGTCCTCCACCTCGAGAACCGCATTCTTGAGGCAGGCCTTGTCGGAGTTGTAGTCCTGGAAACTCTTCCGGTCCATGCCGCCTGCCGCCGCGAGCGCCATGGGGGTGGGGACCCCGAGGAGCGAGACGGCGTTCACGCGGACCCCGTGGGGCCCCAGCTCGACGCACAGGTTCCTCATCAGCCCCACCAGCGCGTGCTTCGAGGCCGTGTAAGGGTGGGCGAAGTAGCCGTACGTCTCGGTCACGACGCTGGCCGTGAACAGGATGACGCCTCTCCTCCTCGGGACCATCACCCTGGCCGCGTGCTTGGCGCAGTAGAACCCTCCCATCACATTCACGTCGAACACCTTTTTCAGATCCTGACCACTCGTGGTCAGGATCTGGTGACCGGTGGCGACGTCACCGGTCACCCCGGCGTTGCTGAAGAGCACGTCGAGCCGCCCGTGGGCCGCCACCGCGGCGTCCACGGCGCGCTCGACGTCGCTCTCCTTGCTGACGTCGCAGTAGACGAACGTGGCGGCGGCGGCGGCGGGGCCGATGATCTCTTTGGCGACGGCGGTCCCCAGCTCGGTCTGGACGTCGGCTATGACGACCGTCGCGCCGTTTCGAGCGAACAGCTTGGCGGTGCTGGCGCCGATCCCGCTTGCTCCGCCTGTGATCAGAGCGACCTTTCCGGCTAACCTGCGCGCGGGGTTGCACCAAGTTATATATATATATTGTTATTATTAGTAATTGAATGTGCATTGTGATGAATTGATCGGCTTTACCTCTGGGAAACAACGGACTGGGAAGACATGATGATCGATGGACTCTTCTCTAATGGAGTTGCTGGTAGGTACTATATAGTTTCAATGGAGGATTTTCCTTATATACATGCATGGATGACCAGTCCACCGGCTAGCCGGAGTGTTTATTTATTAATAATTAATTGGTCTCAATAATTCGAGTGGTTAAGCGAGATGTCCATGTATGGATATTAGTAAATCGAGTTGTTGGGAGTGATATACATGTTAAGACGATGGTTAACATTGTGAGGCATGAGGATTCGAAGACGTGACATCGAAGACAAAACAGTTCTGATACCATGTCATAAACCAATTAGTCTCATTAAATCGAGTTATTGGATGTAGGGCTGCAAATGAGCCAAGCCGCTAGCGAGCAACTCGACGTTCGAATCGGGAAAAACTCATTCGACACTCGGCTCGTTATTTAACAAGCCGACTCGCGAGCCAACTCGTTAGTAAACGAGCCAAGCTTGAGCTAGACCATGCTCGGCTTGATAAGCTTGTGAGCTAGCTTGACTCGGTGGCTTTTTGAGCTAAGCTCACGAGCTGGCTTGTTTAGAGCTTGTGGAAGGATTAATTACTCTTCCGAACATGAATATTATTTTGTTAATACGATTGTGCATGGAAATTAACTATTATTTTGAGTTTCTAGTGTTATTTTTACCATTTAAATTCTTATGTTTACACATTTTTCAGCAAGAATGATTTCAAATCGAGCTTATATTTAGCCGAGCTTGTACTCAGCTTGACAAGCTGTGCTAATGAGCAATTACCGAGCTCTACCGAGTCAAGCTCGAGCTAGATTATTTTTAGACAAGCCGAGCTCGAGCTCAAGCTCGAGCTGGATTATCAAAATTCGAGTTCGAGCTGAAAATTTTATAAACGAGCCGAGCTCAAGCTAAGCAAATTAAAATTCGACTCGACTCGGCTCGTTTGCAGCGCTAATTGGATGAGGTTCAAATATATACACCTTTTAAGTCTTAGCCACTTCCTTACCTAGAGCATAGTGATATTACCATAAATTTTAAGTCTTAACCACTTCCTTACATGTTTTCGTGGTCGAATCGACGATCTAGTTTCACAGGTTACAAACCTCTTAAGGAAGTTTGGAAAAAAAGCAAAGAATATTTTGAAACCATACATGAGGTATATACCGAAAAAGTCGTTGATAGATCATTTTGTATTAAAATTATAGCTCAATTGTTTCATACCGTTAAAATTATATGTCGATTCGAGACTGGTATATATGATATATGAATTCTCGGGAAACAAGGAAAGAGTGAACAGAAAGCTAATTGCATGTTACGTAAAACTCGTCTTGATAATTGGATATAATTAATATGTGATCATGTGCCTCTCATTGAGTGCTGTGAACTTCAGTTGCCTTTTTTTGACTGAAGTTACATATAATCCAATCTGCACGCAGTGTACCATGTTCCATGAGTTTGTGGAGCTCACCAAGTTCTATATATATTATTATAACTTGGTTTTTTTCTCTCGTGTTTCTAAGAGATTAATTATATTTATAATGACATCCACTCATTTAATAATTAGTTGACGTTAAAAAATTTACAAACTAGTTCGTGTAAGAACTCATCACCCACCCTTTCTTTCGATCTCTCTCTTTTTTTTCTTCTTGATAATGCCACCCTTTCTTTCTTTTACTTCCACCTTGGAATATTGTAAGCTAATTGGATGAGATAGTTTGATCTTAGCCCGTTCATTTCGAGATTAGGTATTAATATTGTTTTCGGAGAAAATAATACGGAATTTGTTCTAAAATTTCTGCATATATACAACTCGAACTATGAAATCCACGAATGTTAAGGTGGGTTTGTCCATTTCTGACAATGCTTATTTTAGGGGGTGATCGAAATCATCAAAATCTTTGACCAAATCATCAAGGGAATCATCGAAATGGTTTATTATTAATTGTTGAAAAGACCAAGGTGTACTGTGGTGCAGAGGACCAAATGGTACCAAAAGAATAGCCTCTTTTTATCTATTTTGCTGCAGAGCCAATACTCCACCTGCAGATTCTCTTCTTGCTTAATTATTAGTCACTTTTAACTTGCCATTGATTGCTGCACTTTCTTTGCCACTGTTAAGTGTTAACCACAAATAAACAGCTCGATCTATCTTGTAGGCTGCCACCCTTGTTTAAACTCATATTTACTCTTCTTATTTGATGGAAAATCAAAGAGAATTCGAATAGTAAATAAATTAACAAATAATCAATTAATTCGAATCATCTGAATAGATGGCGAGAACTTAATTGAGTCGTCGAGGAGAATATAGAAGAATCGAAGAGTAGAAACTGTTGATGTGACCTGAATCGGACTATCAGCCGCTACGACTGGAAGTCACGGGGTTTCGCTGCCCGGTCAACAAGTGGGGTCAAGGGGCAACACCTCCCGCCGCCCACGGTGTACGGGCTCAATATTATTTGGGCTCGGGTTCTGGGTCTGATTGTAACCGCTTTTCCTTTACCAGATTGGATTGGGGTTAGACCTAGGAGAAGTATTATAAATACTTCTCATACTCCTGATCTGTAATCTGTATCTCCTCGAAGTATAGTGAAAACTGGCTCTCTCCTGCCTGTGGACTAGCTAACACACATTGCGTCAGTGAACCACGTAAATCGTGTGTGTTTGCGCTTTCGTTTCTTGCTTTCTCGATTCCGGCGATTTCCCGATCCGTAGCAGCGCAGTTATAACAGAAACAAATAATAAAAAACCAAATATTAGATAGGAAAAAGTGACAAATATATTTTTAGTCTAAGTATAATTACGAACTATTTATAAATGATTTACTTTTTTTTTTTTTTTTTTACTATTGGCCTGTGCCTTATTGTAGTTTATGTTAATAATGAGAGGCATAAGCAGAACCATATATATCAATTTACAAATAAAGACGCTACCCATGTATGTATACAAATTACTAAACCTATATATAAATTGCAGCGGTGGCGAGGCTACCTAGCTTACTGCAAACGCTAGACCAGCAAAGAAAAACTGAAAACACAAAAATTAAATTACACAGTATGGGGAGTGACTTCTACTTCTGGGCCACGGTGCTGATCACATTTCTGGCAACGGTGGTCGGCGGGAAGGTGAGCAGAATGAGGAAGAAGAACAACAACAACAAGAAGAAAGCAACCCCGCCGGGCCCAAAAAAGCTCCACGTCATCGGGAACCTCCACCAGCTGATGGCGAAGAGCCACCAGTCGATGGGCCCGCACCGACGACTGGGGGAGCTGGCCCAGCAACACGGGCCCGTGATGGCCCTCCAGCTGGGCCAGGTCCCCCACGTGGTCATCTCATCCGCTGCGGCGGCGGAGCAGGTGATGAAGACGCACGACGCCGTCTTCGCCTCCAGGCCGTCCAGCCTGACGGGCCACATCCTCTTCTATGGCTCCAAGGACCTCTTCTTCTCGCCCTACGGCGACCACTGGCGGCAGATGAGGAAGCTCTGCACCCTCGAGCTCCTCACCGCCAGGCGCGTCGCCTCCTTCCGCTCCATCAGGGCGGAGGAGCTCTCCAGGCTTGTGTCCGCCCTCTCCGCCGCAGCCGCGGCGACGGCGGAGGGGCGGATTGTGGATCTCAAGACCATGCTGCTCTCCCTGACCAACACCATCACATTCCGGTCAGCTTTCGGCATGGCGTCCCCCAAGCTCACCGAGGAGTTCGTGTCGGTGGTTGACCGGATTACGGGAGCCATCGGAGGGTTCAAGCTCTCGGACCTCTTCCCTTCCGTCAAGTTTCTTCCTGTCGTCACTGGCCTGCAATCCAGGCTAGCCGCCATTCGTCGAGCAGTGGATGGTGTGCTCGACGAAGTGATTGGCCAGCACGTGGAAGCCAGACGACGACGACAGGAAGTCCGATCGAGTAGCAGTGCTACCGAGGAGACAACGGAGGATCTTGTGGATGTTCTTCTCAACCTTCAACAGGAAGGTACCGGTGGTGGTGGTGGTGCTGCTGCTGATTCTGTCCACCAATACTTAACCATGGACGCTATCAAAGCTATACTCCTGGTAACAATTTTACTTTCACCTATAAACTCCTTAGACCTAGTAACTCGAGTTATTTATTTGAAAAATAATTTATAATTTGTATGATTTTTTTTTTAATTTCTTACATGCCCAGTCGAATGAAAACTTATTGTTTTGGGGTTTTACAGTTTGTACAGGTTGAATATATAGTCACAATAGATCGTGTTGTGGGGAAATAGATATTTATTTCTGGCATGTCTGTTCAAACAAAAAACCTTTTTCTTTTTTGGATTTTTACAGTTTGCACGGGTTAAACATATCATTCATTGTGTTGCTAAATCATTAGGCTTTCGTTTTGCACAGATTGGTCATATCAACCCACATGCTAAATCATCATTTATATTGTGGTCGTCATACGAATTTGAAATCATGTATGACCTCTCGATCGAAGACTATAATACCATGCTAACGAACAATTTATTTAGTTTGAACAACTCGAATTTTTGTGAAATAGATTTTATGAGTTTTTTTTTTGTACTTAATAATCAATCGATCGATATCACCGCATAAGATCCATTTAACCATCGTGACTTCTTTTCATACAGAATATGTTTCTGGGCGGCACCGAGTCGGCGGCATTAACAGTTGAGTGGGTGATGTCCCAGATGATGAAAAATCCAAGTGTGATGCAGAGAGCGCAAAAAGAAGTGAGAAGCGTCTTTCGCGACAATGTCGACGAGGAACGACTCCATCAATTGGAGTACTTACACGCAGTTATCAAAGAGACCTTCCGATTGCAGCCACCCAGCCCGTTACTTTCCCCGAAACTGACCGGAGAGAACGTGGAGATCGGCGGGTTCGAGGTCTCCACGAAGAGTCGAGTCCTCGTCAATGTATGGGCCATAGGAAGAGATCCTCAGTACTGGACCGAGCCGGAGAGATTCTACCCGGAGAGATTCCTCAACTCCCCGATCGATTACAAAGGGACGCATTTCGGGCTAATACCCTTTGCTGCTGGAAGGAGGATGTGTCCTGGCATTCAGTTTGGAATGACCATCGTTCAGTTTACGCTGGCGAATCTGCTCTTTCATTTTGACTGGAAGCTCCCACGCGGTGTGGAACCCGAAAGTCTAGACATGACGGAGATATTCGACACAGCCCTAAGGAGGAAAGAAAAACTGTGTCTCGTTCCGGTGATACCTGCTCGTGCTGCAAGCAAGTGACGACTCGAACGACCCTTAAAGGAGACGTGGATTGATTAATAAGGAGAGTAAAAGCAGCTTTGAAATACGTCATTCCGCAGAATCAATATGCTTTTAACAAGAAAAGACCAAGAGATAAAAGGACTCTAGAGAAGCCCTCACAATACTTGTGTTAACCAAATATCGATCACTATAACTCACCCGATTATCCAAGCTACTGTAAGAAACTAGAAGAATCCAACCATCTTAGATTATCTAGACTAAACTCCTGTAATCCACAGAGTAAACCAGCAAGCAAATAATGTTGTGTAGGTCTAGTAAATTTGACTCGAGGAATAGCCTTTCTCGTTGTATTGGACGCATTGGAAGTAGGAATGGTAATGGGGCGGTGGCAGGGTGGCAGGTCGGGTAATTTATTACGAAGCGCGGTTAGGGCAGGTCGACCCAATGGGTATATAATTTATGTGAAAAATATTAGAAATATTCGTTATTTTTATTAAAAGACCAAGAAAGAAACCATAATATGATGAAATGTAGTTAAATTATTGGAGAAATTAAGGTTTTCACTTATTTACAAGTTTATTATAGCTAAAATATGAGGTAATAAAAGGAAAATCCTAAATAATTTGACTAATATTACATATAATTTAGACAAGAGCGGGTCAAGAATGGGGCGGGTCGGGACAAGTCAGGTCGATGAGCCCGGCCGCCCCACCCCAAAGCAGGTCAAACAGGTCGGGCAAAACGGGTCAGGTCGAAATTGTCATCCCTAATTGGAAGTACTATTCGTACGTATTTCTTTCATTAATAAAATGCATCTAATTCAACGGGAAAAAATTAGAGGACACGTGGTACGAAAGTTAATATAAATGAAAGCTCATTCATCATCATCTAGGTACCACCGTCTGCCAGCCATTCTCCCTAGCATAGAGAAAAACAGAAAGAAGAAAACAAAACCCATGGACGTACTTTCAAGCCTCCCCGAGATCCTCATCACAGCTCTCGCCGTAGCCACATTCTTCTACCTCCGCCGGCTAGGAAACAACCGAAAGCACCCCAAAAACCGGCCGGTCCCGGAGATCCCCGGCGGGCTGCCTCTGGTCGGCCACCTCCACCTCCTCGCCGGCAACCAGACCCTGGCACGGACGCTGGGCTCCTTCTCGGACAAGTACGGCACCGTGTTCGCCGTCCGGCTCGGAGCCAACACGGCCGTGGTGGTGAGCGACTTCGAGTCCATGAAGCAATGCTTCACCACCAACGACCGTGTCCTCGCCACCCGCCCGGACTCCGTCCAGGCCAAGATGCTCAGCTACGACAAGACCGTGTTCGGGTTCGCCCCTTACGGCGCCTACCTCCGCGACATCAAGAGGATCCTCATGAACGAGGTCCTCGCCCTCCACCGCGTCCGGGCCCTCCGCCACGTCCGCGTCTCCGAGCTCGACCTGCTGGTCCGCGACCTCTACCAGAGGTCGCGGAGCCAGAAGTTGAAATCAGGTGTGTCCTTTATTTTTATGTATAAATATTAATTATTTCTGAATTTTGATTCCACCCGTACTGTATAGTAACAACAGACCAGACTAATTGAAGTCTGATCTGTTGAAATTTCAATTAGTCTGGTCTGGTCTGATCTGTTATATACCGTGTAATAAATTATTTTTCATAGCTAAGTGAGTTTGAAGTACATCAAAATGGCAGAGTTCAAATCAAATATCCTTTCACATGCATATGTAGGAATTTGTTATCGTTTTACCAAAACTTACATGTGTTCCAGCAGTGACAGAGCCCAACACTTCTGGCTCCGTCACTGTCTCCCAGGGCGAAGGTAAGGCGGTGGTGATCAGCGAGGCGGTACACAGCTACGTGCTCAACATCATCACTCGGATCGTCGCCGGGAAGAGGTACTTCGGTGGCGGTGGCGGCTGCACCGACGACGGGAGGCCGATCAGTGAAGTGATCAAGGAGTTCACGCTGGTCATGGGCACCCTTGTACCTTCGGATCTGATACCGATTCTTGGGTGGGTGTTGCCCCAGGGAACCGTGAAGGCGATGAAGCGAGTTTTCAAGGAGCTGGATCTGGTTATGGAAGGGTGGATCGACGAGCACAAGAAGAAGAAGAGGGAGAAGAAGGAGCCGATGCTCACCGACAACGACGACGATGAGGTCAATCAGGACCTCATCGACGTGATGTTGTCGGAAATTAAGGACGACGTGGTGCACGGCCACAAGCGGGAGACCATCATCAAAGCCACAGCTCTGGTACCGGTCGAATTTAATTATCGCGAGTAAATACAATTTATTAACCAAATATTTTCAAAAAAATAAAGTTATGATTGTGTTTTTTTATTGGCTAGTCTGTCATCGTGGCGGGTGCAGAAACGAGTGCGATAACGCTCACGTGGGTCCTGGCCAATCTGCTGAACCACAAGCGGGTACTGAAGCTGGCTCAAGAAGAGATAGACAGTAAAGTAGGTAAAGATCGGTGGGTGGAGGATTCCGACATCGAAAGTCTGCCGTATTTGGGAGCCGTGATTAAAGAGACGTTTCGAATGTATCCTCCGGGCCCGCTTTCCTTCCCTCGGGAAGCGTCGGAGGACATCACGATCAGAGGCTACCACGTTCCCAAAGGGACTCGTTTCTTCGCCAACTTCTGGAAGCTGCACAGAGATCCTAAAGTCTGGTCCGACCCGGACCAGTACAGACCGGAGAGGTTCCTGACGACCAACGCGAACGTGGAGGTATTCGGGCATCAGTTCGAGTACCTCCCGTTCGGGTCGGGCAGGAGGGGATGCCCCGGGATCAATCTCGGGATGCAGATTACTCAACTGACCCTGGCGAGGCTGGTTCAGGGCTTCCTCTGGAGTGCACCAGAGGACAGGCCCGTCGACATGACGGAGGGACTGGGACTCGCTCTTCCGAAGGCGAGTCCCCTGGAGGCCGTCCTTACCCCGCGCCTCTCTCCTCACCTTTACACTGCCTAATAGGAATTAGGATTCCTCATTTCATGACATTGTCTGCCAATAAAAGGGTTATTAGTAGGATACAAAATATGCTTTGAATGTTCAGTTTTTATGTCTCTGACCATGTTTACAATGCTAAGATTTGAGGGAGGGCCAGGTTCTTTATGATATATGTCTATGTAGTATGGTCGGTGCTATGTTTCGGCAGGTTTTGGTCACGTATAGCTTTTGGCGACCAAATGGATTTGGAGACGAGCTCGGTCAGGTTATGCACATCAATAGCGACCACATTATCGCATGGAATTGTAGAGACGGATATTTTATTTTACAATGAAAGGCGAATGTCGGTGAGTCAAATTTGTAAAGACGGAAATAGGGTCTCGATTTGCAACCGATGCCGAATGAGCTATTTCTAGCAACGCATGGACTCGTCGCTAAACCACTGAAATGTCGTTGCGAAATGATCGCGGCTCTTTTTTTTTTTTTTGTCGGAGATATTCCCAAGGGAAAACAATATTGAGATACCACTCATATTTCACCTGTTCTGTTAACGAACCCCTATATTTTTTTTTTCTCCAAATCCCTTTGATAAGCGATCCACTCAAAGCGATTTTTCGATTTTTGTTGTGTGTCGATCCGTTCGTTTTGGCAGGCGAAACTGATCATCGTTCAACCTTCTGCACTCGCCATCATACTAATTAATGGGATGAGATGAAAACGTTAAGCAACTCTTCTCATTGTTCTTGTCAGTTAACTAGCGCACGCTCTCAATTTAGTCGCTCTGTTCGTCATATACTAGGCATCTGATTAGGTTATGTTCCAGACACAGAAACTAGGTAGATCAAAACTAACTCATCCAATCAGCTTACATCCGAATGTGGAAGTTTAAGAAGTGGAGCTACTTGAGTGACGAATTCTTCAAATTGTGATCCTCAAACATGGTGAAGTATCCTATTGTAAAATTCATTAATAATCAAATGGTTGATTTCATCTTGCTCACATGGTAGCTTAATATATATTAACCGGTGTTGTAAAATATGTTCATTGGAGAATGAAGCTGGCGATTGAACCAAGGCAGGAAGTCCAAAACCGGCAACTAAAGTTCATATATAGTAAGTAGTCCGTCATCAGAGGAACTATACACATTGATCAGATTAATGTACGATATTGATATATAATTTTGTAATTATAGGGTTTTGTAATTTCTCCAAAAAAATATTTTTAATTTGTCATACCCAATTTGTTTTTTTTTTTTGGTGAGAATACCCAATTTGTTTTTAATTTGCATGTTACAAAACCTACTATTATTATTGTTGTTGTTTTAGATCCGTAATCTAAATTTAATGAGTTAATTTTATATTGTTTTAAATTTACAATAAAAACTCAAACTCTATGACAACCCTATAATTTGGAGGCCCTATGTTAAAGGTCCTCCCAACTTACCCCAAATCAGTATAACCCAAATCACTAATAAGAACATTCAACCATATACCCTCCTTAATAATAATATCCAAGTGATTTAATGCAAAATTTTGAATGCATGCATTGGCTCTGTTACTAATCCATCCAAGTAATAATTAGCTTAACCTTTGTATAATTACTAATCCTGTTACAATTTACTTGTTTTGTCATTTATGTCTTTGTGTGTTTGATAAATTTTAAATTTCGTTCAGAATACATGATTACTACGAAATAAAGTAATTGAAGATGTCTCAAAGCTGCTTTTAATTCTCCTTATTAATCAATCCACGTCTCCTCTAATGATCGCTCGACTCTTCACGGGCTAGACACAGTTTTTTCTTTCCTCCTCAAATACAGTTTCGATTTTCGAATGAGATATTTTACAATGATATATAACATTGGTACTATAAGGTTTTGTTTTTATGGTACAATTTGAAATTGTACATTTAACGTTATGGTACAACTTCAGATTGTACCTATACTTTTTGTAGAAATTCTTTTATGGTATAACTTGAACTTGTACCTTTAGATGATGATACAACTTCAAGTTGTAAAGTTGTACCATAACATAATAGTAAAAATTAATTTATGGTACAACCTGAACTTATACATTTAACATTATGGTACAACTTTAAGTTGTACATTAAAGCACCAATACTTTATAGCATAGTAGAAGTGCTCGTTTCGAATTGGTTTAATTTTTTAGTTTATTTGGTTTAGGTGGTTTGGTTTTAGACACTCCCAAGTTCTAACCATTGAAACCAAAATAACCAGTTAAGTAATTAGTTATATATCTAATATATATTATATAGATAACGTTCCATATATAATAAGTATATAGATGATTATGCAATGATTATATACCCTTCGGTTATGGAGTAGAAATATAGAATCACTCCCATGTAGGGGTGGGCAATGGGCGGGTTGGGTGAGTTTTGATCTCAAATTGACCCACCCGCTTACTAGCGAGTTGGAATAACTGTGACCCGCAATCCACCCACATACTTCTGCGGATTGGGTTGGGTGTGTGGCGGATGGGTGCGGTTGGGTCGTGGGTCAACCCGCAAAAACAATTCTCCAACTAGCCATTAAGAAAGTTGACTAACATTTCTAATAAGTTCATAGCAAATTAGTAAGATTGTATAAAATATTTGTGATTTTGATACAATTAATAATTTATACTTTGCATCCCTATATTTAATGGATATTAACAATAATTTGCATACATATATCCAATGTCTAATGGATATTGCACAACACAATAGCCAATAATAATAGTCAAAACTATTATTTATTCTCCATCTTTAGAAGTATATGATCAGACTGTAGTGCGGTTCTAAAGTATGATGAATATTTGATACTATAAGACACAACATTTTGCACGTATAAATTGGATGCGGGTCATACGGGTGACCCGCAATCCACCCACCACCCACCCACATAAGTGCGGGTGGGAGATTTATCAATCCACAATCCACCCATATCAATCACCCACTACGTGAGGGTCGGGTTATTTGTGGCTTGATTGATATCAATCCGCGGATTACCCACCCACGTGCCCACCAGTATCAAATCTTTGACCAAATCATCAAAAATGTATCGAAATCGTGGATTGAAAAGACCAAGACTATGATTAAATGTATGATCACCATCCACGTGCATCGTGCAGAGAAGCAAGCGTTATATGAAGGTTAAGTTAATTACTTCGATGAATAATAATAATAATAATAATAATAATAATAATAATAATAATAATAATAATAATAGACAGTTGGGCGGATTTTTGAGCTGTAATTAATTTCTAGACAGCCGTCAAAATACTTTTCAAATCTCTCACGAATCTTTAACGAATAATATCACGTTCACTTGTCACACGGCCGGATCGATACAGTGGCAACTGGCAATGCATGCATGCATGGAGGTCTGTGCGTACATTGCTGTATTCTTATCTGAAGAATTATTTTTTTTGGTGATGCATGTATCGATCATCGAGCAGGATGAGATCCATCCACCATGTGATCATCATTAATAATGAATCTTTCCAAGGATACTTGGATATGTTTCAAGCAGTGTTATTAGAGCCGAGCCGCTCGGCCCGACCGGTAAAACCGTCACCCGATCACAAAATCGACTCGGAACAGTCTAAAAGCCGCTTCGATTTTATGTAGCGGTTGACGAGCGGCCGAGGCATTTAACCGTTTGAGCCGATCGAGCCGCTCGTCCCGTTTTTGCCATTCAACCGTTAAATTTAATTACAGAAAATTGAAATAAACAAAAAATGTCGGGCTCTCAAACTGAATCCTTATTTCCATTTCACAATTTTGAAGGAAAGAGACGAGCTTTGATTAAGAAATGTCCACTATTTTTACTAATAACGTTTATTAGGTACCGGTTCTCTAACAGTTTTTAAACGGCCTAATACCGGTTGTACCACTAAAGTGCGAGCCGTTCGCATTACTACAATCCGAAGAATTCATCATCCAAAACTCCACTTCTTGACTTCCACGTTAGGATATGTAAAAGCTGATTGGATGATGAGATATAGTTTGATCAAGCTAGCTAGCTCGTGTCTTGTCTGGAGCTTCGTTAGATACATGTAAATGGATTGGGTTCATGGATTAGTGGATTGGATTTGATGGATTCATGGATTGTATCAAATGGATTGGTGGATTGATTCATCAATCTAAATGGCATCCAAGCCTTGGACCATTATGTAAATTTGGATTTGAATTTGCAAGGATTCGCATGTTTCATGGCGAGCGATTATTGGTTGGCAGGGTGAAATCGATCTTTCTTATTATTTGAGAAGTATCCTTTCGATATCTATCGAGTTAGGGCTTTTAGAGTACACTTGGATTATTCTTGGCGTATGCAAGGATTTCAGGATCCTCCTCCAGTATGGACAATTCACGTTCGTGCATGAAAATCCAAGCCTCCACTCCAGCCCCATCCGGCCCGTTGATCAGGCCGACTACGTTGTTCATCTCATCCGGAAGCTCGGCCAGGCTGACCCAGGCCGGTTTCCCCCACCCGAAATCTACACCGTACACGTCCATCCCAAAGGTGCTCGACATCACAAAATACGCCACCTTGCTCCTCCCGCTTCGACCTGCCCGCGCCAGCATCTCCGTCCTTGTCGCTTCGTTCCTCGATACTCTTCCCTCCCGCCGCCTGCTTCCAGCTTCTGCATGAAGGACCCGTCGAGCTCCGCGATCGAGCTCCTCACGCTGCGCACCACCTGCTGCAGCGTCGGAGAATCGCGGGGCTCCTCCAGGTACCTATCGTACAAGGCAGTCAGGGTCCAGAACACATTGCCAACTGCATACTCCCCCAGCGGTTTCGCCATTCGAGGTCGAAGATCCACCGCCATTCCTGTGATGATCGATCGAGAGCATTTGTTAGTAAAATGCAGTACTAATTGGGTTAGATGGACACTAATATACAAGGATTTCTTCCTTTGTACGTATTTGGGATGTGGTATTTGGATTGTCCCATAACAGATATTTTATTTCGCACCCCGCTAAACTAATGGTACATTTAGCAGTACGTATGTAGTTACAAAATATATAGAATTAATTAATATATAAATGATAATTAGGTTAGCAATTTAATTCATTCAATATGAATATTATACGTGTTTAATACGCGCGAGCCGTATCAATCAGAGTCCTATGAAATTTACCCGCGACCGAGTAAACCGATCCGGCCTTGCCGTCCAAAGCCAATGCTGTGGCGGTCGCGCTGACGGCGGACTTCCACAGCAACCCGGAGACGGCCTCGAACCGGGTCGGGTTGGGGACCCACTCGCTCCGAGCTCCGAGCTTCAGCTTCGCAACCGCTTCGCGGTCGAACACGAACCTCCTGGCCACGGTCGTCCGCTCCGTCTCCGCCCCTTCTCCTCCCTCGTAGATGAAATCACGCGCGGCAGGAAGCGCGTCTTCGTGACGCGCGGGGAAGAGCGACGCGGCGGCCCGATCGTGAGCGTACGCGGCGCCGCCGCCGCCGACCTCTTGCTCGTCTCCACCTCCTCGGGCGAGGGCCGCCCAGAGCTTCAAGAAACTTGAGATAGTGTACCCGTCGCCGATCTTGTGCAGGAAGCAGACCCCGACGGCGACCCCACCGCAGGGGAAGACGGTGGCCTTGACGGCCAGCTGCGGGGCGGACTCCAGGCCGGCCGGCGTGCCGACCAGGCAGGGACGGAAGGGGAGGAAGCGGTGCAGCGCGTCGATCTCCGGCGGCCGGCTCAGAAGCCGGTCCATCGAGGACGGACCGGCGACGGCCGTGGCGAACGGGACGCCCTCGTCGTCGCAGCGGATGATGGGGATCGAATCGGGCCCGCCGGACCTCGACAGCCTCCCCGCCAGCGGGTAGAAGCGCGTGAGAGCCTGGGCGAGTGAGGATTTCAGGACGCCCAGGACTCCCTCTCCTCCTCCGCCGCCGCCGCCGCCGCCGGGATAGAAGAATATGAATGCGGTGTAGAGTGGAGGGACGTAGTTGTCGATGAGAGAGAGCTTGAACTCGGCGAGATGGCGCGGAGTTGGTGATGAGGGTTTTACCATGCTGGTTCCCGTTGAACGGATGCCGAGGTCGTCGTGTACTTGCGAGCAGAAGGAATACGAGGGAAATGTTCTTCTTCGTAGCGGTGAGAAAAGCTTCGTTGCTGACTGCCGGAACATGGTGTCGAGGCGGCGGTTTGATCAAGCTCTAGGTTTTCCTGCGGTTTCCGGTGCTATAGGCCTATAGCTTGTTATATAACGAAACGAAACGAAAAACGGTACCAATGCCAGCTGTCCATTTTTTAAGGACAGGTTGGGAAATCGACAATACAAGAAAGTAAATGCTGAGGTTATATAGTTCTCCGATACAGTAGTATGTTAGCTAATACGGTTAGGAGAGAACCAATTTCATTGTACTTAGAGCATAGATATTAGATACTAGCTACTACTTTTTGAGACGGTCGGACATTGATCCAATCTGATAAAGAGATAAAATGTTACGGAACATATATACTTGACGATAGATACTAGCTAATCACATTGATCCTTATCGATTGTTCTAATTCCTAAATGTTTGCCAAAGTAGAGTATAAGAGGGGTGGCTTTGGGGGGAAAGGTTGTTTGCAATAGGCGAGAATTAAGATGTATGTAATTGTGATTTTGGTTGGCCATGAATTAATCTTAAGGACTTTTCCTCTCACTAGAACTGCGACGACGATATATTTCTTCTAGATTGGTCTCTTAAGTTTTTTCTTCTTAATGTTTTGTTGTTAGGTTTTGTTAGTTTATCTGATTCTTCTCATTTCTTCTTCTTGTTGAGCTAGCTAGCTAGCAACTCATTTGCTTAAATATTGAGCAGAATCTCTTAACAATTTTTGTGGTAACATCACATGCACTGGGGGATACATTTTATTGGCCGCTAGTTTATTTTTCAAAGTAACTTAAAAAAACTGAAAGTTTATTCAAACCGAATACACGACGACGGAAAAAGAAAAAGGAAGGCGCAAGTACTTTACGTAGAATCTAATTTATGGACTCCCAATTCTACGTGCCACGGGGATAAGGAGCAGTGTTTCTCTCATCTTGAGCGCGTTGTCCGAGAATTCTTCTGTCAAGTCTAGATCTTCGGGTTTCATTTCGTTCGGGAGTTTCCAATCAAAATGAAAAAGTAAGTTTGCTAGGGCAAGTTGAACAACGACCATTCCGAATTGAATGCCAGGGCACATCCTCCTCCCCGCTCCAAAGGGCAGGAACTGGAAGTGTGCCCCTCTGTAGTCCGTTGTGGAGTTGAGAAATCTTTCGGGGCTGAATTTATCGGCTTCATTCCAGTAGCGAGGATCTCTTCCTATGGCCCACACGTTGACTAGGACTTGACTTCTTACGGGAATGTCGAATCCGCCGACGTTTGCTTCCTCTCGACTTTCTCTTGGGATCAGGAAAGGCCCCGGAGGGTGCAGTCGCAAAGTCTCTTTAATAACCGCGTCTAAGTACTCCAATTCATGGAGTCCCTCTTCCGTGACATTGTCCGAAAAAACACTCCTCGCTTCTGTTTGTGCCTTTTGCATCGCGCTAGGATTTTTCATCATCTCCGCCATTGCCCATTCTATTGTCCTGGTTGTCGTGTCGGTCCCGGCAAGAAACATGTCCTGTACGTACATATTTTTCTTAGCTCAGTTAAGACTTTTTTTTTGTGTGTGATGATAAATAAAAATTATACACGAGGAGAAATTAAAGGAAAGACATACAACGTTAAATTTATGGTATATGATCAATTACAGAATCTCTCAAAACAACAATTCAAGTTATTGAGACCAACTGGTTTTTGACATGATATCAGAGTCATTTGTGACCAAAAAGTTATTACATGTTCGAATCCTGGTGACCCTCATTGATATGCAGCCGTATAGATATAGTGTCTGAAGTCTGTGACAACTCGAGTTATTGACATCAACCGATTTTTAACAATGATTACCTACCTACACATACCTGGAGGACAGCCTTGACAGCTTCCATGGTTATGGGCGAGGCAGGATCAGCATTTTGTTGAAGGTTGAGAAGAACGTCAACAAGATCCTCTGTTGTTTGGTCACCGTCGGTAGCCTTAGCAGTACTGTTGGTTCTTCTTTTGGCCATGTGGTCGTTGATGACTTCATCCAGCAACGAATCCAGCAAGCGATGATGCGCTTCAATCTTCGACCGATACCCGGAAACAACGGCAAGGAATTCGAGCCCCGGGAACACATCCGACAGCCTGAAACCTCCAGCCGTCACCATAGCGTCGTCGAGCAGTGCCACGAGCTTGAGGGGCTTGCCGAAAGCAGCACGGCAAACGACGGCGTTGGCGAACGTGCCGAGGATCGGCTTGAGGCGTACTCCCTCGTGGCTCGAGGACCGAGAAATCGCGGCCACGAGTTTGGAGGCTTCTTCCATCCTGTGGGGGCGGAAAGAGAGGACGCGCCTGGCGCTGAGCAGCTCCACCACGCACAGCTTCCTCATCCTCCTCCAGTGGTCCCCGTAGGGGGCGAAGGCCAGGTCCCTGCGGCCGTAGGTGAGGATCTCGAGGACGAGGGAGCTGGGCCGCGAAGCGAAGGCGAGGTCGTGGGTTCTCATCACCTGCTCCGCGGCCTCCGCCGACGTGACGACGACGTGGCGGAGCTGCCCGAGCTGGAGGCGCATCACCGGCCCGTGCGCCCGGGCCAGCTCCCGCAGCCGCTGGTGCAGCGGGAGCTGGCCTCCCAGCAGCACCAGCTGGTGGAGGTTCCCGATTATCGGGAGCCTCCGTGGTCCCGGGGGCGAGTTTCTGCTGCTCGCCCTCTTCTTCCTCCTCCTGGTAACCCGAGTGCCGAACACGATTCCCAAAATCGTGATCAGCAGGCACATCCAGCCGTAGTACTCATTCCTCACCGTCATTCCAAAAAAAAATTTCTTCTTCTCTTTCTGTGTTTTGGAAGAGAGATAGAGAGAGAGAGAGGAGCTAGGTTGGTGTAGGAAACTCAATAAGATAGATTTATGCGGTTGATGATGTATAATTTTATATTGCGGGTAAAGTAAGCTACAACTAGCTATCAGTTTGCTTTGAGATGTAGTAGCGCTAAGCTTATAATAATAATAATAATAATAATCGGCTGGCAATGGGGAAACCCGTCACTACAAGTAGTACTAATGATTGATATTAGTCACGAGAGTTGATCAGTCACGGTATAACTAGTCATGGTATACGTTTATATTACGGTAAATTTCCCGTGACAAAATGGATAACATGCTTTTAAACACGGGACTTTGATTTCGGTGGTTAAAGGACCTTTTTCTTGTAATGTATAATTAATATGCTAATCCGATTATTAATTAATATTATTATAGTTCTATTAATGAAGCTCGTCTGGCGATTGAATCAAGGCAGGAAGTCAAAAAATGGTAACTGATGGAGTAATTAATAAATATTCATTTTTTCGTATCGAATTTAATTATTCTTGGTTTGCATGTTACGAAATTTATTAAGTGGTATAGAAAATATCACGCTCAGACCTCAATGCATGGATTGGCTTACCACTGTATCGATCCGGGCGTGTGGCCATGTGATTGTGAGCTTTCATATTACTATTAATCTATTATTATTATTATTATTATTATCAAACCGAGTGATTTAACTAATTAACCTTCATATATATATATATATATATATGCCCTAATTAATCATGTTGCCATTTGCTCCTCGGCAAGATAAACATGGATGATGATCATAGTCTTGGTCTGTTCAACTATCGGAAATGCCAATGTATGAATGTGATGTGATTACTACTTAATTAATTATTATCATGTTCCCATTTGCTCCTCTGCACGATGCACATCGATATTGATCATATAGTTAATCATAGTCTTGGTGTTTTCGATCAACAGTTTTGGTAATTTCTTCTTGATGATTTGGTCAAAGATTTTGATACCATTTGTGCTTATACACAAATTCATGACCGTATATTTTTTAAAAGTTTACTTGTGTTCCGTGACAGATCCAAAACCAGCGGCGGATCTAGGGGGGCCGCCCCGGGCCACGGCCCAGCCCTCCTTCGATCCGGAGCTAGTATAGCACGTGTAAATTTTCGATTTTTGGTGTTCGTTTCGGTGTTCGTTTCAGTGTGTCAATTTAGCTAGTTGAATCGAAAAACACAAGAGCTTTTTTAACGTGGTATCGTCGTTAGACACTAGTCCACGGAGAGGATCTCCCTCTCAGGTTTTAGGTATTATTATTCGAGGTAATCACTTCGCTACAGACACAATAGTTTATATAGGTTTGCTCACACCAAACCCTAGCTACTTAACCTATACGAAGGTTAATTACAATAAGGCCCTCATAATTAACACAGTGTTCGTCGTGTTACGGCCCAGCCTTCTCTATTTTTTTACAATGTGGCTCAGTGCTCTACCCAATCCTGGATCCGCCGCTGTCCAAAACCATCTAGCTCCGTCTACGCGCGCGCACCTCAATGCATGCAAGTATTGCTGGTTGTCATCACTGTACCCGTCCAAATAATTAACTCAATATTAATATAATTACTAATCCTTTTTACCATTTGCTTAATTGCTTGATGATTAGGTCAAAGATTTTGGTCATTTCTTGATTCTAATATGTAAATGCATAAATGTGAACTTTAAAATCAAGGAATCAGAGTGGTTAATTATACACAAATGGATAACTACAGATTATACAATTGATCCTCGACCCTGCTTTCTGATCCCTCTCACCTAACCTAATTAAAATGGAAGTCATATTATTGGGTTAATTTTGAGAAGAAGAAAAAAATAAGATTTTTTTAAGGTAAGTTATATATAATATGCGTAATCAATATTGGTTTCTCGCTTTCATATTTCTGTTGAAACTCGAAACCAAAAAAATATTTCTGTTGAAACTAACATAAAATCATAATTTGTAACCCGATCGGACCTTTACGAATTACGCCTTGCTTCACCGACATAACCATTAATTAAATCGATTTGACCATCTTGATCTTTTTTTCAATCTGTTTTAGATATGCATTCCAAAAATTTCGTTTACAAACCAAAAACTTTCATACTTAATATTAATAGTAACTAACCTCCAATATTTTTTTAGTGACCACTGATCCTGATAAAAGCCGAAAAGTTCCCTGCAACTTATTGAATTTGATTTGGTTTATTAATTCATCCCCAAATTACAACACCAACATAAATGAAAAGCTTAAGAATTAAAGGGAGGATGAATTTCCACAGACAATTAAACTAGATAAGTTACATAGGTACTTTGGCTAGTTCATTAGGAGCAGCGATGGAGCATTAGGGTTGAGGGAGATGGGCTCTTTAATCACGGACTCTGCCACTCGAGCCAAGTTGGTGGAGTTGTAGCCATCGTCCTTCTGGTAAACCAAGTGCACCAGCTTCGTCATCATCCAGAACAAGTTCCTGCTTTCCTTCGAAACACCGCTAGTACTGCTCTCATCGAGAACCAGACGGAACAACTCTCTCGTCTGGTCATCGATGCCCCTTCTGATCTCTCTGACAACATCCTCTGCGGTTCGATTGTCACGAAGCATCAGCAACGAGACTGCGTTCAGTTTCCCCTCCTGCGCTTCTCTCTGACCGATCGATGGATCGAAAAAACGTAGTAACGAATGAAGGAATGAGTGAGGGATCGAGCGCGAGTATTCAGCAATAATTGTGAAACCGTACCGGAAGTTACAGCAGCAGCAGAAGTTAAGTTAAGTTAGTTTAGTTACCTCAAACCCTACACAGTCATTCAGGAGGCGCCCAGTAACGCTCATGACTCGATAGAGATTCCGGATTTCTGGACCCTTGGCCGCTTTGTCCGAGAGAGGAGGCCCCAGCAAGTACAGGGTGGTCACGGCGCTCGGTCCCAGAGCGAACGACGTGGTCGCGTTCCTCATGTATTCGTCGAACGTCGGCACAGTTTTCGTTCTAGCCCAGTCCGATTCCTTGACCATCGATCTCAAGGCGTCCACCCACTGCATGCATCACGCGCCATGAAACAAACGACATTCGCAATCACAATATCAACCAGCGAGTCGTGCAAAGCGATGACGACGACGATATGCATATGTATTTTGTTCAGAAAGTTTTGAGAAACCGGATGGATGGTTCTTACGAGTTGCACCACGTGGTCCATGACGCTACGGCCCTGATAGGCGAACGCATTGTCCACTGTCTCGCAAATCGCGCTGTGAAGTGCCCAATATAAGGTCTCCACTTCATTCAACATGAAAAAGACTTGGCGACCGAAACAATGTTGCTTTCTTGTCACGGGAACTCCAAACACTCTGTGACGGGATCCGTCGCAATCTCATGGATTTTGGCCGCCTGCTTTGTGTGACGGAATGAACTTCGTCGCAAAAATGTCCCTGAACCTTCTAGGACGAACTCAAAATTCGTCACAAAAAATCATCACTACGCATCTCCACGAAAAATTTAGACAATTTGCGACGATAATTTTAGTTATCGCTGAAACTTATATTTTAGCGACAAAATCCTAATAAATATTTATCCATTAAAAATATCTTAATTTTAGTGCCACCATTACTTAGTAATCCCGTAACCATGCATATGCTTGCTTGCTTCTCTGCCCGATACACATGGATGGTGGCTATTATTAAATTACAGCTTTGATCTTTTCAATTAACGATTTCCATCGTTTCGTGGTGATTTGGTCAAAGATTTTGAACCCAATATTCACTCTTTCCGAGCTAATTATCATGAAATTACGTGCACAGGCATCTGCCTTTTTTTTAGTGATTAGGTGTTTTATTGGTTTTATGAACCAGATTTAATTAATTTTTTTTGGGTCAAGATCTGCGTGTCCCCGAAAATTCATGCAACATTTTGAATAGTACGCACACACCTCAATATATACATGCACGCATTGAAAACGTTGCTGAGTAATTGGAACAAATGTGGGCCCGCAAAGTAATTGGATTCTCTTGAAGTAATTGCATGGCATGCAATGAAAGATCATAAATTTATTAGGAATAAGAACCAGTTGCTCCCAATAACTCGAAATTCAATAATTAGTGGCTTCATTGCAGATAGATAGAACTGTTATCACAGCCGAATTCTTGGATTAAGTACAGCATATCGAAGGAGGTGGGGATCCTGTTGAAAGATGGCCATCTCTCGTTCATCCAAGCTTACCAAGGCTTCAACTGCACCGTCGTCACCAGCTGTGGCTTCCATCAGCACAACGTTGTCCCGACCAGGAGGCTCGTCAGTGAGCCACAGAAAGCGAACCCACAAAGGCTTTCCCCACCCGAAATCCACTTCATTCATCCCGTTCCTCAGAATGCTTGAGAGATTGTACTGCCTCGTACTACTATTGATGCTGCTGTTGCTGCTCCAGCTCGCGATCAACAGCTTCTGTAATTCGTGATGCGCTTTCGTGCCTCCCTGCAGTTTCTCCACAAAATCTCCGTCCACTTCTGCGACTGACCCCTTCACCAGCTTAACCAATTGCTTCAGCACTTGACGATCATCACCATTACCATCGATGTGAAGTGTCGCCGCTGCGGCGGCGACCCATAATACGTTTCCCATAGGGTAGTCCTGTAGTGGGACTTTCAGCCTGGGCCGAAGGTTGACCACGGAAAGTAGTACGGAGGTGGCTGCAGCGGCGCCAGCAGTTTCCCTGCTGGCGTCGTTAGCAGCCTTCCAGATAAGCCCGGAGATGGCCGCCGTCCGGCTCGGGTCGGGCACCTGCTCGCTCCGGGCTTCCGTTTTCAGGGCCGAGATGGCCTCCCGTGTGAAAACGAATCTCTGATTCGCAACAGCACCGAGCCGGTTAGCCGCCGCTTTCTCGGACAGCTCCCTCATGTACGACCGCGTACCGCTGATGATGGATTCTTCCGCTTGGAAAAGCGAAGCGGCCGCGTCGTGGGCGTATCCACGGTCGGCGGTAGTAGTAGTACCGCCGACCGCGAAGGCCGCCCATTTCTTGAGCAGCATGCCTGTAACCTGAGCGTCTGCTACAACGTGGCTCACAGAAACTCCAACAGCGATGCCGCCGCAGCGGAACACGGTCGTCTTCACGGCGGCGAGATACACTACCTGTGAAGAAGACGACCGTGGACAGACGACCCTAGGGCGCGGGGGGCCCAGCTGCTGACTGAGCAGCTGGGCCTCCGACACCGGCACGGTGTCCCCCAGGAATTCTGCCATGTCTTGGTCCGCTTCTGCTTCCACGTACAGTACCCCCTCATCGTTGCAGTTTACAAACGAGCTGGGTGTGGGGCCCCAACCACCGTCGGGGCCCCACACCAGCTCGAGCCTGCCGGCCAGTGGGTAGAAGTGGGAGAGAGCTTTGGAGAGCGAGTCTCGGAGGACCACGTGGTGGCGGTGTTGGCTCGCCGCCGCCGGCGGAGCTCTGTAAAAAGACACGAAGGTCGCGTAGTATTCTGGTGGCGTGATGAGGTCGAAGAGAGAGAGCTTGAAGCGGCGGAGGTGGGGAGGAGTTGGTGATGAAGGTTTGATCATTGACTCGGATCTCACCGTTACTACAAAACCCCTTGCTGCTTCTCCTCCTGTTTCTGTACAGCAACGCCTGATTCTGCTGCTCGAGATCATGAGTGCTTTCGCTCGGTACTGTTGCATCATTCTGTCGTTGGTTTTTTTGTTTACCTTTCTCTTTTGCTTTCAGGTTTGGGATTCGATAGTGTTGTTGTGTTATATATGCTTTCGCCTTACATATATATAACTTCCGTGATATGTATTATTATGCACCTATTTTTATATAAAATAAAAAGACTTGAAACTTGTGTATTTGTGTAGGTAAGGATATTCGGTTACTTCAAACTTCAAAGTACCGCTGACCTTTAAATGGGATCAAAATCTTCCAAAATATTGTGCGTCTATGAATAGAGAGGGAAGATCACATCTTCCAAAATTATTTTTGGCGACTATTATAAACAACGGCACGTGGAATCATGTGAAAGTTGGGGTGGGGGGTTTTCTGCCACAGAATATAGATAGATTGTGAAAGCTGGCTCATTTATGTATGCTTTTTAATTTTGTAAATTTTTATTTTTTTTTAAATTTAGCGTGTATTGAGTATTCAAAAAAAAAAAACTAGATAGTAAATACTATTTGGAGAATACTTTGACGCATATTAATTTTTTATAATAATGTGCGTCGGCCAATATATTCAATCCGGAGATAGATTCAAATTGATAGAATGAATATCATATCAAAATGAATTAACTTTTTTTTTTTTTTTATCTAGGAACCTTAGCACTATGTGTCACTTTGTGACAACGGGTCCTAATAAATCTGGAGGCCACCTGCAATCAAATTCGACGCCAACGACGCCTCGCCCTCGCAGCCTTGTACCTCCGGGAACACCAACGAGCCTCGCTTGAATTGGATTCGAACCTGAGATCTACAACTCCCCAAGTCTTCACTGTCGCGCGACAGCTTTCCCGTTAGACTATCTTACCTATGATAAAAATGAATTAAGTTTTGGTATAACAACGCAAATCATCTCAAAATGAGTTTTCGCATATAAATCTTACTATATAAATAAGAAAATTCTCACCTTTTATTCTATGAAGATAATATCAAACGAATTAATTAGTGTATTATCTTAAAGGGCTAATACCACCAGAAATACCATCCTTTAACGAAAGTGCCATTAATATTACATCGTTTTTTATATGTCATTTGTATACTAAAATGTTTTCTCCGTTAGTTGGGCCGTTAAACATAACTGGGCGACTTTTCAACGCCCAGTCAGCGCTTAATAGGATCCTACGTGGCTCGCTGACGTGGCTTATTTAATGAAATGGAAAAAAAAATATATATATATATATATATATATATATATAAACAATTCTCACCTCCCAGTCCTCCCCCCTCCACTAATCTCATCTTCTTCTCCAAATTTCCCCAACCCCCTAAGTAGACGCCCTGGAAGTCTAACGCACACCCAATTCAATTCATCCCCCCTTTTCCCCCATCTCCTCCGCCTTCCACTTCTCCGATTTCCCTCCTCCGCCGCCGCCAAAATGGACGAATCTTCGATGAACAACCTCCCACAGGAGACGCTCCACTAGATCTTCTCCTCCCTCACCCTCCGCGAAATCGTCGCCTGCCAATCCGTCTGCAGATCCTTCCGCCAAACCCTCACTTCCCCTTCCTTCATCTCCCTCCTCCTCTCCTCCCAACCTCCCCTCTCTCTCATCCCCCTCCGCCCTCCTCCCCACCTCCGCCACCGCCACCACCATCTCCTTCCTCCCCCACCTCAACCTTCTTTCCCCGCCTTCGACCCCACCGACCGCCGCTGGCTCCAATTCGACCTCTCCTTCCTCCCATTCCGCTCCCTCCACCCCGTCGCTTCCGCCGCCGGCCTAGTCTACTTATGGGCCTTCGATCCCTTCCCCGACCTCACGGCTTCTCCCCCTTCCAACAGCAACAAATCCCTCCTCGCTTGCAACCCTTTGACTCGCCAGTTCAAGGTCCTCCTCCAGCTCGGCTCCGCCTGGTCCGGCCACGGCGCCGTCCTGGTTGACTACGACAACTGCGTCATGGACCTGATGGAGCCCGCCGCCCTGTACCTGCCCGACATCACCGCTGATTCATGGGTAACTTTCGCTTCCAATCTCCCTGCGAAACCTAGGAGCCCTGTTTTGATCTCCAGCTCGGTTTTTTCCCTGTGCGATGTTGGCTCCCCGTGGCGATCTCAGTGGAAATTGCTCACCTGTACTTTGAATTTGAATAATTCAGTTCCAGTTCATGAGCATTTGGGTGTTGGTTGTGGGAGTGGGAGTAGGGGTGTTCTCTTCGTGTTCCTCGAATCATAACAATTGGGTTTGCTTGGAGAAGCATGAATGGGCGGATATATTCGATCTCATCAAGCGGCCTCATTTGGTGCGTGGGGATGGGAATAAGCTGCTGATGATTGGTGGGTTGAAGTCAACCTTCTCGTTGAACCCGTCTTGCTCGACGATGCTGATACTTAGGCTGGATTTGGAGAAGTTTGAGTGGGAGGAAGCTGGGAGGATGCCACTGGAGATGTACAGGTGTTTTCTCGAATCCATCAAGTTGAAGGTGTTTGGTGGAGGGGACAAAGTGTGTTTCTCAGCCAAAAGGCTTGGGAAAATAGCGTTGTGGGATGATTCTGGAAGTGGGAAAGGAAGGGGAAGGAGAAGGGGCGGCGTGGAGATGGATCGATGAAGTGCCTGGTGGTGGAAAGTTTGGTCGTCGGAGGGCGAATTCACCCGGGGGTAAAATTATTTTAATTTTGTAATATAATAATAAATAAATAATATTTTCAAATTTTTTATTCTTTTTTTTCCAACGTGGCATCCACTTGTCGCTTACGTGGACACAATGTTGGCCACCGTCAGGTCAACCGTCAATTCTAACGGTCAACAGAAAATCGCGTAACACAAATAACGCAGACCCCTAATAGGTTGGAATATTTTTGTGTTTATTGAAAGCATGTAATATAAATAGCACTTTCGTTAATGAATGGTATTTCCAGTGGTATTATCCCTATCTTAAATGATCAACTCTACAAAAAAAATAATCTCTTCAAACATAATCCCAATCCTACGAAAAGGAAAACAAATGTTTGCGACTAGATAAAAGTAGGGATGGCAATGGGTCGGGTCGGGGGCGGATAGTGCATATCCGTTACCCTACCCAATATAGTTCGGGTTTTACCCATACCTGTACCCACACGAGAAACGGGTAGAAAATCAAAATCATGCCCATACCCGTTCGGGTTTCGGGTATCCACGGTTATCCATGGGTAATAATTTCTCCTTATAATTCCAACCAATATGTTAACATTCACACGTATACTCACATTACGTAAGAGGAAAAGTACGACAATAATTCACTAGAATGACGAAAATTAATTAAAACAACATAATTTCATGAAAATATTATATTTTATATGCTAAATATAAAATATTCTAGAGAAACGTAATGATTATTTCTAGACAAAATACATATGCATGTGTATAATCGGGCGGGTTCGGGTTGGATAGTGAGATAACCATGCCCACCCATTACCCGCAATATTCGGGTTCGGGTTTTACCCGTACCCACGAAAAATGCTTCGGGTTCGGGTTTTACCCTACCCAATTAAGTCGGATTCGGGTGGATATCCACGGTTACGAATATTTTTGCCATCGCTAGATAAAAGAAATGATATGAGTGTTCAGTTTTTTTTAATAGAAACGAGCAAATAAATAAATAAATAAATAAACAACCCGCCGATTGAGTTATCAATCGTGTGAATTCCTTGCAAAGCAAAGCCTCAAAAATGCAATAGTATCTCACCAACGGAATCGAGATATATAAAAACGGTCCAGTCCTTTGGCTAGAGAAGAGGTAAATCATCAGTTGGCCGAGTTTGCTTTATCTGAACTATGCCGGCGGCGGGGAAAGGTGCCGTGTGCGTGACCGGCGCCGGAGGCTTTATCGGCTCATGGGTTGTCCAGCTTCTCCTCTCCAACGATTACCCCGTCCATGGAACCGTCAGAGATCCCCGTAGCGGATATGGTACAAAACTCCGACCTGCAAAACGTGGACCAAAACAGAGGTTTCATTTTCAATTTTTTTTTTCCTTCTTTCTTGCACAGAGGATGATGATCACAACAAGTACGCGCACTTGAAGGGACTAAAAGGTCTGAAGCTGTTCAAGGCCGATCTAACGGACTACGCTTCGCTGCTGTCGGCGATCCAAGGGTGCAGCGGGGTCTTCCACGTGGCTTCTCCAGTTCAGTCCTCCTCCTGCTCTTCCAAACAAGAAGCCGAGGCGGAGATCATCGAGCCGACGGTGAGGGGAACGCTGAACGTGATGAAGGCCTGCGCGGAGGCGAAGGTGAAGAGGGTGGTGGTCGTGTCCTCTGCGGCTGCGGTCGTGTTGAACCCGGCCTGGCTCGAGGCGGGTCCCGGTTATAATAAGCCCATGGACGAGACCTGCTGGTCCGACCTGGCCTACTCCGCGGCTATTGAGGTACCCGATCCGACTCGAATCGACTCGACTGCGTGTAGTGTTACTATGGTTTTCAAATATAAAAGAATCGCGATGATCTAAGTGGTTATGGGTGGGATGACGGTGGTAAGAACTATGGGTCTAGGCGTCTTCGTTTAGGATTTTATAATTGGGATATAGATGTAGAATCAGGGATTGAGAAGGATTAGAGATTAGGAAAGGATTTGGGGAAGAACAAGAGAGATAGTTGGAAGGGGGGAGGATAGAAGATGGGGATTTTTATTTTTAGAATTATGTTTTACATTTGTTAATGTTGTAAAAACTGAACCGTAGTATGAATGAGTGGTTTACACTTTATAGGTTTAACCGATAATATATTGTTAAAAAGTTTTGTTTAAACATGCCAGTGGAATTTGTGTTGGTTGGGGGTCGGTCAGTCCGGTTCATGCAGTTAGCCGCTCGAACCGATATCCAACCCGTCGGTTTATAAATGTCGTCCGGGATCGGTTAGCATGCTAACCCTTCTAAGGGGTTGGAAAAATGACACCCCTATTAATTATAGTTATTTTTTTGTATTAAATTCGTGTTGCATTTAATAATATTTGGAAATTAAAAACTCATCTTAATTACATTCCTTTTTTTTAACTATCATTGCACTGATACATCTACCATTGCACCTATACACAACTACCAGTGCACTGATACAACTACCAGTGCACTGAAAAAAGGAAAGTAATTAATATGTGTTTTTAATTCATACAGATTATTAAATGCAACACAAATTAATTACCTTAAAAACCTATAATTAATAGGGGGTGTCATTTTTCCAACCCTTTTATGGGTAGGCATGCTATCTCATCCCATGTCGTCCAAATACACCAACCTGAAAGACGGCCTCCGATTTTACCGGTTCGACTAAACGGCTCGGTCCAGTCTTCAAAACACGATCATATTTTGTTAATGAGAAAATCTCGACAATTACATAATATAAAGTCTGCTAATTACCTCCAAACTACCCATAACTTAATCCCACTACAATATTACTCAAATATCTCCCTAAAACCCCCTACAAATGCCAAAATGCTAACCATATTTCAAAAAACATAACAAAACCATACAAAAACAGTTCTTTACCCCTACATGTCCAGTTGCACCTCTACGCATTTAGGGAAGAACCAGCTAGCTCTGGGTTTGAGTGGTATTTCACCACGAACCACAACTCATCCGCCGATTCTTCAACATCAGCTGACAAAACGGTCAAAATAGTAAACAAATGCAAAATCCATGTTTCTAACATCGAGCCAACTATACCGGCTCAAGTTAGGGTGCATAACCCATGGTTATGCATCCATCAATAACCAAATCTGGACCATTCATTTAGAAAATCCAGATCCAAGGATGGAGAATTAAAGGCTATTTTTATTTTCACTAGCTTTCTTAATTGACTCATATCTTTTTCGTTTTAACTCGGATTTTAATTTTTTTTTGCACAGATGGAACGAGTTCATCGTGCTCTATAAAATGAGATCAATTTTCAATATTTTTGAGGAAAAAACAAATTCTGGCCTCTCGGTACCAACTACATACCATATGGTATCTTCTTCTTTTTTAATTCGTTTTTGAAAACGTTTGCACAACAAGGACGAGTTCATCATGATCTATTGGATCTATAAATTTCTGGGTGAACAAATTACAAGACCAAAAAATACCACATAATACCATACAATACCACCCTGGTACGGGGTGGTATCTTATGGTATCTTATGGTATACAATGTTAAAAGTCGTAAATGACAATTAATATATTTCTACTATCATGTATTCAACCATCCTACAAATTTCTGGGTGAACAAATTACAAGACCAAAAAATACCACATAATACCATACAATACCACCCTGGTACGGGGTGGTATCTTATGGTATACAATGTTAAAAGTCGTAAATGACAATTAATATACTTCTACTATCATGTATTCAACCATCCTACAGTTTTAGTTTGTATCATACCACCATCGTACGCTTTTCAAACCGTAGGTATGCTCTTATTTCAATACCAGTCAATACCATATGGTATAGACTGGTAAAAAATGGCTCAATTTTTTTTTTGTTCGAAAATATATCAAAGTGGATATCATTTTGAAGAGCACAATTAATCTGATCTAACTGTCCAAAAAAAATTAAATTTCGACTTAAAACGAGTGAGAAATCGTCCGTCAAAGATTAAGGAGGGGAAAATTAAAGACTTTCCAGGAGAGAGAGGATGCTGATGTCATGCTGACATGGGCAGGTTACTCATAGTTACTCACCATAAGGTTACTCACCTGATCCGTTCCCAACTATACCTGTGCATCATCGTGCAGGAATGGTATGCGGTGGCTAAAACAGAAGCGGAGCGCGAGGCCTTCGAGTACGGGCACAGGGCGGGAATCGAGGTCGTCAGCATATGCCCAACCCTCGTGGTTGGGCCCGTGATGAACCACGCAGTACCGAGCGGTAGCAGCTTCGTCTTCTCCAACTTCCTTAAAGGTATCTCTAACTTATCAATCGATCGACTGGTATACGTAGAAAACGAAGAAAAAAAATACCTGTATAAGGAAACCGATGGATAAAATACGATCGAAACGAATTCGATCGTTTTTATCGTTTGCAGGGGAAGGCCTGGAGTTGATGGACAAGTACCCTTTAACCAGGATGACAGTGGATGTGCGGGACGTAGCAGAAGCAATGGTTTTAATGTACGAGAAACCCGAGGCAGAGGGCAGGTACATTTGTACTGCACATCTGCTTCGGATCCACGACATGTTCGAGCTGCTCGAGTCACTCTATCCCGACCTTAACTACCCTAACGAGTAAGAAAGCATGTCGCCGCCACAGGAAAGTAATTAATTACACGGCTAGCTAGCTAGTCAAGTACTAATTGGATGATACGATCGCAGGTTCACAGAGGAGCAGCCACCAAAGCTGGAGCTGAGCGCGGAGAAGTTGAAGAAGCTAGGCTGGAGTTACCGTCCCTTCCAAGAAACTCTTGTCGACTCCGTGGAGAGCTACAGGAAAGCTGGGATCTTGGACTGATCAATCAGCAGAATCGAGAGAAAGGCAGAACCTTGGAGTGCAAGGAAGGCGTGCATTGATCATAATAATGTTTCCCCCCCAGCTTTCAATTCTGTATCCCTTTTTTTCGTTTTAATTCGTGTTTGGAAATTTCTGTTGCGCCAAGAATCGGATGTTTGAAGCAAGTTTGTGTACGTTGTTTGGTTTGTTTTGTGTCGAGTCACTGGAGTTATGTATTTGTGTCAGTGAAGTCCTCTAGGTTGTTAGAAGCTCTAGTTGTTGATCATGGTTGCTGGGCTTATAGGGCTTTAATAAGTTTAGTGACTTTGAATTGTGGAAGCCGAGTTTGTTGTGACGGAAACAAGTTTGCTTAAGGTCAAGTCTTTCATCTCAATAATTTTTTTTTTTGTCAAATTGCAATTCATTGAGTTCTCACACATTCGACATACTATATTTTCATTATTTTGATTTTTTTTTTTATTCTTGTCATTATTAAAACCATAGGGGTACACACATGTGGTACTGTTCATTTATTCTACAACTCGTGCGCCTCATTAATAGTATCATGACACAGACTACAAAATACAAAGTACAGATAACAAGTTACATAAAGTACTAGACCATAACAATTATTAACCAGACCATAGCCTCACCACATTACATAATCTCATAAAAAGTATACCAAAAATTTCAAAAGCATATCACAAATTTATTTAAATATACAGGAAAACTCATAAAACATACCGCAAATTCCCGACGCAAACCACAAGAATTAAATATTCAACCCATGCACATGGCCATCTAGAAGACCCGTAAAGTTTGGGAACGGATATGGATCCAAGACCGCAGCTTTAGGTCATCGAGAAGCGCGAGATGATCAGTTAATGACAATGTATACACATTCAAGTTTTCAACCCATGCACGTGGCCAGATCATTGAACACCATCTCTCAACCCTCTCTACATATACACTATGAATTTATGTTCCAAGTAGCTAACTAATTAAATTCAGTCTCTCTGAGTTTCAAGGGCAAGGCAAAAACAAGAAACAACAACAACAACAAAAAAAGATGGAAGTTGTGGTGAAGTCAGTGGAGAACGTGAAACCATCGTTATTAGTGCTGGAAGATCATCATCATGAGTTGAGGCCTCCTTTCAAACTCTGCTCTCTGGACCAGCTAGTCACATTCGCAACCTATACCCCGCTCATCCTCTTCTACCCCATGGAAAAGACGACCACGACGACGACCACCACGACGACCACGACCATGGACTCGAGCATCGAAACCGTGTCCAACAAGCTAAGAGAATCGTTGTCCCTCGCCCTCGCCTCCTACTACCCGCTGTCGGGGAGGGTGAGGGACGGCGTGGTGATCGAGAACTTCGAGGCGGGGGCTCCCTTCATCGAGTCCCGAGTGCAGGGCCACAGCAGTCTGGCGGAGTTTCTGCGTCCACCCAAGATGGAGTTTCTCAACAAGCTCCTCCCGGTGGAGCCTTTCGGCTTTCACCGTGCAGTCGTCGCCACCACCATCGATGATGACTGCATCTATGACGATGGAGTACTTCCTGTGCAGCAGGATGCTGCACAGGTTATGGTTCAGATGAACACATTCGACTGCGGCGGCATCGCCATTGGCTTGTGTTTCAATCACCAGGTCGTCGATGCTTCCATCACGAGCATGTTCCTCAGGACTTGGGCGGCACATTGCCGACCGTTACTGATGATGTGTGGTACCGATGACGATGAGGATCGAGATCTCGTTACACGACTCGTGTCGACCGAGGATCTGTCCCGTGGATACACTGCTTTCCCTCCCCGACAGCAAGGTCCCCCGCCCCAGCATTTTCAGTCATTGATTGAAGAGCTATCGGCGAAGGACCGTGCCGTCGAGACAGCCACCAGGAGGTTTGTGTTCCGTGATGGTGCAATAACTGCTCTCAGGTCTCTGGCTACTACGAGTACTTTGATCCCGACTAGGACCGAAGCCTTGTTGGCTTTCATATGGAAGTCCACTATAGCAGCTGCAACGGCTTCGAGTTCCTCGAAGCCGTTGTGCCTCACTCAGGCAGTCGACCTCAGGCCGAGAATGAAGAAGAAGAAGACGACGAAGAATACCGATCTTCGTACTAAGGAGGAGGATGACCGTGTTCCTGATGACGAGTTATTACTTTCTCGACACTCCATTGGAAACCTCTTCTCCATGGCGGCCTCGTTCTGCAACGAGCCCGACTCGGGCTTCGGTACTACCACTTCTGATCTGGCGCGACTTCTGAGGGAAGCGGTGGCGAGAGCCACGGATGACATGCATCTTGATATCCTCTCGTCACAGAAAGGCTCTGATGCCATGGTTGAAGGACTCGGAATAGGTGTACCGACCTTGATGTGCTCGAGCTGGATCCGGTTCGGGTTTAGTGACATCGATTTCGGGTGGGGGAAACCGGTTTGGAGTGGTGTTGTTGGAGAAGCCCACGGGGATAACACTGCTCCCGGGAACTTGATTATCCTCAAGGAATTAGCACCAAAGAAGGAAGAGAACTACAACAACAACAATTATGACAATAGTGGCATCGAGGCATGGATAAGGATGGATCACAAACTCATGGCTGCTCTTGAAAAAGATCCTGAGTTCCTGGAATTTGTTGCTCCCAATCCTCCTATTCTTTACTGATCAGTCAGTCCTCAGCCACTTATACTGTTTATTTTTGGTGATTTGTTTCACTTTCTATGTCAAAAATTAGTTGTTCTCAATAATTTGAGTTGTTGTCAGATGTTCAATAATAGATCTTATAATATAAATCACAAACATGTTTCCTTAAACAAAAACCAACTTATATGAGCCTCAAGCTTGCTTATAGGTCTAAATACCATGTGCTTAAGCTTAACAAATGAGAATTCGAACACAATCATTGAAGCCTTTTAATATCCATTCTGTCTCAATAAGTTGAAGTTATTGAGACCAATCGATTTTTACATGGTATCAATGCTAATTTGTTTTTTAGCTCGTCAGATATTCAAATCCTCGCGACCTTTAATATTAACCGTTGCATTAATCGTTGTCTTTAAATTTTTTATGTATAAGACTTAAAGTCCATCTCGCATACTTTGTTGATGTGAGATTTGTATAAGATTTTATAGTAAGTTCATCGTCCCTTCGGAGACATCCGATATTGAGATTTTGAAAAAAAAGTTTACTAGTCTAAAATGGGGGGAAACCTGTTGGGCCTTCCACAACCAGCCCAGCTGGATTACAAGCCACTAAGACAGGTGACTGTAGTGTAGTAGCACAATTGGGCCCATTTGCGTTTCAGTTTTAGGGTTGGTCGTAAGTCGAACCGGTTGCTTGGGTTGGGTTACCCGATTTCCCGTTACCAGGCGCTATCTGGCGGATGCAAACAAGTACACGTCATCTACTTCCCATTCCTTCTTCTTTCTGCGGCCACTGCCCGTCCAACATCTCCACTTTCCACTTTCCAGTAATCCCTCAAAAAATCAAATCACAGCTTCGCTTCCGATCGATTTCTCATGCAATTGGGAAAACCCCCACCGCTTCTCGTCAAATAGAAGCAGCCAAGCCCTAGCCAATCAACGCCCGCCGAGGATGCGATTCTCGAGACCTCATTTCGGTGCAAGAAAGGCGGTGGCCTGCCGACTCTGGAATTCGGGTTTTACTAGACACATTGTGACCAGTTGCAGGGCCGTGTTGCTTCCCCGGTTCGGAGGCCCGGAGGTGCTGGAGCTCCGGGACGGCGTCGATGTGCCGCCGCTGAAGCCCAATGAGGTCCTCGTTCGTGTTCGGGCAGCTTCGGTCAATCCACTAGATACCCGAGTAAGTTCGGATCGGATGTAGTTTCTTCGATAGAATGGAAGGATTTCTGTTTTGTGATTAGGTCAGGAGAATCATGGATGAAGAATGGGTTTGTTTTGTTCTTGGGAATTATAGCGTGGCGATTGCATTATTGTCAGAATCAGAGAAGATGGTGCCTGAAGTGAGAGTTGGTTCTGCTATAGCAAAGAAGCATATGCATGAGAAAGAATCTAAAATTAACTGATGGTATGAATGATGATGGAACTTAAGACTCAGAATTTGGAAATCCATTTCTTCATATTATATCATACACAGAACACACTGTATTTCTTTCAGTGCTGAATTTTTCATGTAGATGATGTCTAGCTTGCAGAGTTATCTGTTGCAAGGAGTTTCGTTGTTCATTAATCAATCTGTTCTTTTGGAATCTCTTATTCTTCCAGATGCGAGCAGGTTATGGGCGTTCGGTATTCGAGCCACTCCTACCTCTCATTTTGGGTCGAGATGTCAGTGGGGAAGTTGCAGCCGTTGGAACCTCGGTTCATTCCTTGAATGTTGGACAAGAGGTCTTTGGTGCTCTGCATCCAACTGCTGTCAGGGGCACTTACACAGATTATGCAGTGCTTTCAGAAGAAGAACTTGCTGCAAAACCAGCTTCAATTACTCATGTGGTACAAATTTGTTTTTAGTATTTACCATACAGAAAAATGACTCATTGTTCACCCCTTCCCTTGTGGTAATACTGTAAAAGAGCCTCTATCTGCTTACTTGTCATCACAAGTGGACCTGATAAATTTATTTGGATATGCATAACGGGATTCTGAACTTAGATTGTCAAGTATTGGAAACATGGGTAACTGCTGACAAATGGTAGTGAATGAACTTGAATTTTTGCAGTTGTGCATGAACTTTTATTCTGCTCATCCCCGGTCCCATTCCTGGCACTATGGAATGCTAGTTGTAATGGATTTTATGCTCTTGCAGGAAGCAAGTGCTATTCCTTTTGCTGCACTGACTGCTTGGCGTGCTCTAAAGAGTACGGCTAGAATAGCTGAGGGGTATGTTTTACTGCTACATTTTCATCGTTCTTATTCAATTGATTGTAGAGTAGCTCATGTACTATACTGAGGAGAAAAGAACATTACTTCTGATCGAATCTTGCAAAAGCAATTATATGTGTCTGTTATTTTAGTTTGATCATGCTGTTACACAAAGTAGTCTGCTATTCCTTTTAATTTCTTTTATTCTTATCCTTGCTGTTCAACTATTCAAGAACTGAGAGAATTTAGTGAAAGGGTCCTGCCAGCATTTGGGTAGGAAATCAAGTATGACACCTATTAAGTTGGAAATGTTGATTAGTCATATTAGGCAGGTTATTAGTACTTTTCTTTGCACATTATTGCCTGCCTATTATTGTAAGGTTGGATACCAACATGATTAGATGCAAAAGTAGCCAACTATGTTACCTGGCAGACAAACATTTCTGTACCATGCAATAAGTTCCTTCTGGAATACTTTTTGTCATTGAGGGAGGCTGTGAATCTGCTCTTGCTATGAATTTCCTGACGTCTTCCTATGCTTTGTGTAAAACGAAGTCAAAGTTATATGATGTTCTAGCTAATGTCCTTCTATGATTTTTATGTTGTGCTACAGGCAACGGCTGTTAGTAATTGGTGGCGGTGGTGCTGTTGGTTTTGCTGCCATCCAGCTGGGTGTTGCTGCAGGGTGCTATGTTACAACCACCTGTGGAGGTAACAGTGTAGCTAGAATGCTAGAATCTGGTGTAGAACAGGCTGTCGACTACACTGCTGAGGTGACTATATGCGTCTTAATAGGCCTATCTCGTAGAAGTTTCCAGCTACTTAAATCCCTGGAAAATCTGGATTCCTTTACTGTCCAGGAAGTATGCATTTGCACACTGATGTATGCTTAGTAATCAAGTGGTTAACGTACAGGATATTGAGGTAGCTATAAAAGGGAAGTTTGATGCTGTTTTGGACACTATTGGAGTGCCGGAAACAGAGAGAACGGGAATCAATTTTCTGAAGAGAGGTGGGCACTACATGACACTTCAGGTGATTTGATGGAAACATACTTCGCACCTTTATGGAAGCGAGTAAATATAGGCGCTTATCTCTTCCACATAGTCGTGAAACTGATCTGTATTATCTATAACCTTGTAGGGGGAAGCAGCAAGTTTGACGGATAGATATGGGTTATTGGTTGGGCTTCCCATCGCTACTTCAATATTACTGAAGAAACAGATACAGTATCGTTATTCTCATGGAATAGGTGGGGAAATTTCTTTTTCTACCAGTTCTCTTTTCATTCCAACCTCAAACTTCCATTTGAACCATCTGATTACTGTTTTGATAATACTGGCTTGACACTGTTATCTTGACTTGGGGTCCGAATTGGACCAAATGTTTTCTCATGAACCAGACTTTTGAGCCTACTACTTGGAAGTTGGAACTAAATGACTGTATTCATCTGTTGGTGCAGAGTATTGGTGGAATTACATGAGAGCCGACTCCGACGGCCTAGCTGAAATACGCAGACTCTCCGAAATCGGGAAGCTGAAGATGCCCGTGGAGAAGACGTTCCCGATCTCGCAAGTGAGAGAGGCTCATGAAGCAAAAGACAGCAGGCGGGTGCCCGGTAAAGTCGTACTTGAACTCGACTGATAGGCGAATCCTTTGAACAGAATTAGAATGCAGGTTATGCAATTGTGAAATGGGGGGGTGGTCGAAAGTGATTTGCTTTCTTCCTTTCTTCCCTCACAAGTCAGCTTTAGCTCATACTAGTTGTGGTGATTATGCAATGCAAGTAATGAACTTGAGAAAATAGTGTGTTCTTTTTCATATATAGATAATAAAAGAGTTGGTTATAGTATGTACTAGTTTTCTTCTGCTCCTCCTTGGCTCCTTGCTTGCTGTAAGTGTCCCTTAAAACTATATATTAGACTGTCAGTTCGCTTCTGTGCTTGTTTGTGAGCGAAATATTTGGTAATTGTCAATTAGTTTATTAGCCGTCGCCGGCCGCCACCATTCTCAGCTGATTCCTCCATTTCTCCCTACTTCTTTCCCTTTCAAACCTCTCTTCAAATTCATTCCTGTCGCCTTGGTAGGGTCTTTCCAGGTCTTATTCAGAGCTTTAACAGTTGGTATATATCTTATCCTATGCATAAAATTAATACAAAATTTAGGGGATTGAAAAAACTAAAAATTGAGGTCAATGGCCACTTAAAGATTTACCAGCAAGCTTAGTAGCAGCACAACTATCTAATTACTATAAAATGACGTTTTGTCCTCCATTTTTATAGCATCAAATGAGATTTAATTTTAAATGATTTGGTAAATCATGATGTAGCGGCAGCTTTATCGTTAAGTTATCTTACTTTTGGTAAATCACGATGTATTTCACTGGTATTAAATGATTGAATTATTGATAACCACGATTTAATAATAAAAAAAGGTAATGTCTATTTTTTTTATCCAAACCTTTTTCAGATTCTTTTATATTATCCAGATCTATTAAAATGCTATTAATTAACCAAATCTTTCGTAATGCGTCAAAATATTAATCATTTTTACGTTTTCGTTAATAATTTTGTAATTCTTTTCTTAGTTAGAATACTAAAATTTTGCAATGTTGACCTTCATATGTCTCTTCCAAATCAGTATCATGTTGCCAAGTAAATATTACTAACAAAATTGCTAACTGAAAGTTAATATTTGGTTAATTCTTAGTATTTTGATAGGTTTAAATAATATAAAAAAAATCTAAAAAGATTTGGATAAAAAATAGACATTACCTAAAAGAATACCGATCGCAACGGCACCATTTTTACAATTCTTGATCTTCAGTTAAGGCAAGGATGGATTTGGGCCAACTGTTTAAAAAGCCAGATCCAACAGAACCAGACTGGAACCCGGCCCAGTTACAGGCCCGCCCATAGCTGCTTGGAGTGTCTCATTCTCATACAATTGGAAGTTGGATTGAATTTCCCTCGTCGATTCTCAGCATTCCGTTCCCGCTCCCTCACACACGCCGATCGAGGTCCGCCGTCGAATCGTCTCCGCTATCGGTGGACGGAGCGGAGCTCAAATAGACGCCCAAAATCCAGTGTCAATGGCGTCGAGTTCGACTCCCCCGGTGCGGGATAATGCCTCCGGAAGACTCAAGAGGGCTGCTTCTACTCTCGCCGGTGATACCCAGACTCTCGTCAGCGTAAGTCCGGCAATGTTAAAAGTTACTGATTCTAGCATCAGAAGATTAACAATGGCGGCATATGGCGTTGTTCCCCCCCGCCTTGTATACACAGTAATCTGTTAATCGGGGTCCTAGGTCTCTGCGGTGTATTTAACTTCTCTAATTTGGTTATAAACCCTAATAGGCTCGTCCACAAGATGAGGTAGTAGTGGAGCTGATTTTTTTTAATTATTGATCGGCACTATCAGAGGAGAAGTATCTTCTCTCATAACCACGCGCGCCAGCGATTCCGTTGCAGCAGATGTACTGTAACTAGGGTTTTTCACCATTGCAAGTGCTATCTTTTCAGGACATAAAAAAGGCCTTCACAATGGTGAAAAACATCGCAGTTGATCTGGAAAGAGAGAAAGAATCCGCGCAGGTGCGTTTTCCTTGTCTGAAATGAAATATGCTTGAGCTCGTTTCTGTTTCGAGATATTATGTCGACGGCTAGTATTTTTCATTTCTCATCATTCTTCTGCTTTGTTTGGTGGATTATGGTTGTGGATGTACTCTTATACAGTGAAATTCTATTAGGTTTTCGTTGCCGATAGTGTAATCTGTACACCTGGAGCTAAACAGAATGCTGAATGTATACAATTGGTTTGAACCGTAGTGTATCCTTGATTTTGCATAGTCAAGTAGGGCATCAAGCTTGCCAATCTCAGTATGGTTGTGTCGTTGGTTCATTGTTTCCATTATTGTGCACATCATTATGGAGCTAGTGGCGGGAAAGTGAAGTCCACTTCAACATCTGTCTCCGAGGTCTGTAGTGTTGCTACCGGCCCTTTTCATTGTAGTCTAGACTTTAGGTGCGTTTCTTCCTTGCGTTCTGAAAAGTTGTGCGAGTGTATTTGTTATGATGCAACAAGAATAGAAATGAAACAAATCCACCTGCCACAGAGGGCTCCATCGTGTTTCATCTGATGAAATGGTCAAATTCTGTTTGCTATGGAGCTGGTTCTATTGGTAATAGCTTTATATCTCTATCCAGATCAAGGAGCTTGAAACTCTAGCAGTTCAGTTGTCGGAATCTTGTGATGACTGTATTTGTCGTGCATCAGCAATTCATAATGTGGGAAACGAATATCAGCCAACTCCAGAGGTTTTTTCTAAGCAATGATCTTAGCTTTTCTTTCTTCCATTCCTTTTGGACCTTGTTTGTTATAAAGATGGGTCTCGTTTTTCATTTCGTGCAGTTCACTGATTTCAAAAAGTTGCTTGATGAGCAATTTATGAAGCTCAAGGCTATGCCATCACAGCATAATCGACTAATCCGTCAATTTCATGAAGCTGTTTGGGTATGGCTTATATACGTCGTCTAATGTTACTAGTCTTATTTAACATCAACTTTCTTTCTTTCTTTCTTTGTATGTTTTGTGGTTAAATTTACCTTATACTGCCCTCCAGAATGTTCATCATGAAAATCAGCCAATGCCAGGTGAGGAGGAGGAGGATATCGTAATGACGAGCACCCAGTCCAACCTCCTGAATGTGAAATGTCCTTTAAGTGGCAAGATGATTACTGACCTAGCAGAACCAGTTAGAAGGTGCTACGAAGTTCTTTCCTTTATCTATCACCCTTTTTCAGTCTGAAGTGATGGTTGTAACAAATTGTTTGCTGTGTAGTATGGACTGCAAGCACATCTATGAGAAGCAAGCCGTCATGGCATACTTGCCCCGAAATGGTACTCAAAAACGATGTTGCATAGCAGGTGGGTCAAACAAGTGCCTTATTACTAACTATCCTTTATCTCCAAAGCCTTCTCGCCATTGATGGGTAAAAAGGCTCTCTGTCTGTCTCTATGGTTAGCCTTTTGATTACTTCTTGTCTATTACAGGCTGTCCCAAGGTCTTGCAAGCCCAGAAGCTAGTGTGTGATCCATTTCTGCTGGCCGAAATCGAGGAACTGCGGTCGATTAATCAACAAACTGAACAGGCTCAAAACGTCGAAGATTTCACTGGACTTGATGATGAAGACTAGGACGTAATAGATGACTTTATCAATTACATTCCCACGAACCGAAAGACGATTTGGTACTAGAGCGACCTTTAGAAGTTGAAACACTTTTCCTATGATCATCTGATGTAATTAGTTAGTATCAAAGCGAAGAGGAAACTCGGTGTACTAGAAAATCGAGTTCTCGAAATATGAATTTGCACACTGATCTGGACAGCTTGCATGGAAAAGGAAAGCTGGACCAACATTGGATGGTGCTATGCTGCCATCGCTGAATGTGTGGTATTCTAAAATTCAGGTGACCATTTCGTTTAAAATGAAAGATCAGTGAGTGGATTGCTGGTGAACTCAAATTTGGGTGACCGTTCATGTAATTGACCCGGTAAAATCCTCACCTATGAAGACGAGAAGAAACAGAGACTCGCAGTAGCAAGCAGGGCGACCTTCAAAACTGCACCTATGGCTTTGTCCTCTTCCCGCAGCAGCTTCTTTCTTCTCCATCAACGCTTTCTCATGCGCGCAGTCCCAGTCTTCAACTCTCTACCTAGAAGATTCACAGCCAAATCCTCAAACCCTAAGGTCACCGTCCTCCGTTCCATTTCCATTCAAAATCACTCCTCAAGTCCTCCTCCGCTTCCAACCTCCGCCATGCCCAGTCCCGCCACCGACAACGGCGGCGGTTATCGGTGGAAGCCAATGTGCTTGTACTATACACAAGGCAAATGTACTAAGGTTCGTTTTACCGCCAAAATTTGAACAAGTTTGGGATTGAGATTTTTCTATTTTAACGGGTTTTTCTCGTTGCCGGTGTTCTCTCCAGATGGACGACCCTGCACACCTTCAGGTGTTCAATCACGATTGCTCCGAGGAATTCCGTTTGTCTGAAGGCGAACTCCAACGCGAGCACAAGCCCCAGAAGTTTGATTACTTGCTGGTGTTTGATTTGGAAGGGAAAGTGGAGATTCTCGAGTTCCCTGTGCTCTTAATCGATACCAGAACTATGTCCGTAGTGGACTTGTTTCACAGGTTTGATTTAGCCTTCTCAAGTCTTACTGAGCTTGGTGGAAGAAATGAGCAAATGGGTAGATGAATGTGTTATGGTGGTCTGGTTGCGAATGTTTCAGGTTTGTTAGGCCAACTGCAATGAGTGAGCAAAGGGTTGATGAATATATTGAGAACAAGTATGGCAAGTTTGGAGTTGATCGGTAATGCTGTTACTTACTCCCCTTCTTCTTAGGTTGTATTGTTCAATTTCGTGACGATATGCAAAAGGAAGGGAACTTTGTTTCTCGTTCGCAAAGTTCTGGACCGTCTCATAGAACTCTCTAACAATCTGCTGCCTTTGGCAGTTTGATTGAGAGAACTGCTGTGATTCTAGACTCTTAGCCCTTTTGATACTCAATTGCAGAGTTTGGCATGATACTGCCCTTCCATTCGTTGAAGTTGTGCAGCAATTCGAAGATTGGTTAATCCAGCACTGTTTGTGGGAAAAGAAGCAGAATGGGAGCCTTAATCGAGCAGCATTCGTAACCTGGTGAATCTCCTACTCAAAACAGCGAGTTCTGAGTTCTTTGTTCTGGAGCTAATGTGTTTTCTGTGTGCTCTTGTATACGGATGATCTCCAGTGGGAACTGGGATGTGAAAACACAGGTTCCTAAGCAATGCGTAGTGTCGAAGATGAAGCTCCCCCCGTACTTTAACGAATGGATCAATCTGAAAGACGTCTACCTAAACTTCTACAATCCGAAACAAGAGGTTGGTCTTCTCTGCAGTTAGCAGCAAGTTGGGTACTTTTCTACCTTGTGAACTGCACCTGAAATATACTGATTAGGTTTTCCGGTTTCTTTCCCACTTGTCATGAATCACAGGCTAGGGGAATGAGGACCATGATGGAGCAGCTTAAGATGCCAATGTTGGGGAGTCACCATCTGGGAATCGACGACACTCGAAACATAGCTCGAATTGTGCTTCGAATGCTTGCTGATGGCGCAGTGATTCCTGTTACAGCTTGGAGGGATGGTGGATCTTCTGAAAGTGTCAACTTCCTGTACAAGAACCGGATAAGATAGCTCTCTTACTCTCTCTCATACGCGCAGCATCCAGAAAATTCAGTACCATGTGTGTCATCAGTGGCATAAGTTCGTAACTTGTGGGTTGCCCAAGTTCTGCAGAAAGCTTCAATCTTTCTACTTCAGCAGTTCTGTATCATGTTCAACTGGAATCTGATTAAATCTGAACAAAATGTTTACAAATGAATCGATGTTTTCTGTGATGAACTCTTCAACAATAACTAAGATTGCTGATTATGATGATTGTGATGGTCAAGGTTAACCAAAAACCATTACAAAAATTAATTAATTTTCTTTAATCCACTTTCATCAGTGTATGTTAGCAGCCACAGTCCTGGCCCAGACCTTGAGATGGGCCTTGATGTCTTCAGCTGATGAAGTAGTTGCGGTCGTCGTTGTCTGGGCATTTGAAGTGGGCCCCGGAGCCCACGTCGGAATCGGCGGGCCTCCACACCGGAGGAACCGGTCGTAACTGGGCCTCTGTGGCCTCGCTGCCGCCTTCTTTGACTCGTAGTAACTGGCTTGATCATGTTGGATCTCAAGGTTGCTCATTGTTTTGGTCAACTTCCTGATTCCCTTGGGATTAGTGGGCGGAGGAGGAGGATTGTTGCTGTGATTAGTCGTACTAATTACTCCACTTTGATCATCTTTAACCTCTGGGCTTCTTCTTCTTCCACCACCACCTCTCACCTCGTTTCTCATGCTCCTGCAACTCCTAATCATGCTCTGCATTTAGTCAAGCCACGAGAAGAGTAACGTTGATGTTAGAAAGAGGGCTTAAAACGTGATTACAGGCAGATGGACGTTAATAATTTTTCATTAGAGAGAAGAAAACATAATATATATATATATATATGCACTCGTCCCGAAATCGATAGATTCTAATGATCACATAAAGAACTTATAACTATCATTACATCTAAAGATGAGAGGTGAAAGTACGATAAAAAAAAAAGTTAGAACTCGTGCATAACATCAAAAGTGTACGTTTCCATGATCAAAGTCACTTTTGGTCACATTTTATCACGAAAAACTAGCTCATGTATGAAATCTAAAACTTTGTAACGACAAACTTATCTAAAGAATTAACGTCGAGAATCGAACAATTAAAGGACAACTCCTAAACTTTAAGTTGGATACTAATTCATCGTATATGTTGTTGTGTTTAAAGGTATCGACAATACAGATAATCTTAACAATTTGAACCAAAGAGATTCATTTAAAAAAAGAGACTCTATTACCATGTCGATAATCCGTTGATCCAAAAACTCGAGTCCAATTACTAGAGGAAGAGAAGATAGTTGATTGATTTACCTTAGGAGAAGAAACAGAGTGTCTAGGAGAGATATCATCGAGAGAAGAAGACATGGCCTGCTGAATCAATCTGCTCATACTCATACCATTCTCTTCCCCATCTGATTCTTCTTCTTCTTCTTCTACTTCTTCCCTCCCTATCCACGGCGGCAGCGACGGAGCTCTCGCCAAACTCCCCGGATTCCTCCCGCCGCCGCCGCCTGATGTCTTAATCTTACTCCCCTGTTTCTCCTTACCCTCCCCTGTTTTCGACGATTTACTACCATTCCTCCTCCCACCAGACTTCCTGCCAATACAAGGCGGCAGAGACGGCGCCCTCACCAAACCGCCGTCGCCTCTCACCGGCGCCGGAGGAACGACGCTCTGTGAAGAAGTGGGATCAGAGAAACACCTCCCCATGAATCTACCTCCCGCCGGCGGCGGCTTATTGCCCCCGCTTCCATCGATCAGTTTCCTGAAGAACCAAGCTTCTTCCAGCAGATCAGGCACGCCGCCGTTTCTTTCACTGCCCTTTTCTTCTCCCTCTGATGGGTACTCGCCGGCGAGTGAACCCATGGCTGGTTTTGCTCTGTATCAAATGGGCTCGATCAAAGGCTGTAACTTGAATTATATTCTCTGCTTCTTTCTTCTCCTCCTTCAATCTCTCTCTCTCTCTGAGGGTTTGCTGTCTTGTTAATAATAATAATAAGATGGATGGAGAAGAATGGGTTGGATTTGAGCGGGCAATCAATCAATGAGTTTGCAAGGTTTGGTGGGGCAGAGGAAAACAGAGGACCTTTGCATGTGCTTTGCTTCCTCCTCTCCCTTGTATTGTATGTATCCCAAATTATTATTGGGTAGTAGAATTATTTGACTAGTGCTAATTAATTAATTAATTAATCACCATTTGGTTAATGATAATAATGGTACAGGTGTCATGTGTCACTGATTAAGCTGTTTTCTGTTTATTAATTGAGTTAGGTGGGCAGGGGGTCAGGTAAACTGATTAAGGGATTCACTAGATTTACTATTTACTACTTAATTCTTTTTCAAGGGAAGATTACTACTTAATTATGGATGAAAACAAGTATTCAAGGGAATATTTTTTAATGAGTTTCAAAAAAAAAAAAAAAAGTATCCAAGAGAATATTTTCTTCTTATACTTGAGATCAAGTGAAGACAAGGTTTTTGGTTTTAGTGCTTAATGGGATGTATGCTATGTGAAGATAAGTTCTTCATTAATTTGGTTGCTGATGGTATCGATCTGTCTGTTAATTCGTAAAATTTATAGTATAATTAGTTTAAATACATGAGTGATATCATCAGCCACTTGAGGTCAAGGTCGGTCATTTGCACCACCTTGACATGAAAATGGAGTAGTAAACCTTTTTTTTCATATGATGGTGGATTGAATACAAGATCTCATATATAATTGTACATAATTTTATGTAAATGCAATGTTTTGTGATCTCTATTTAACTTTTAATTCATATATTCTCGAACTGAGTGAATACAAACAAAAACTTGAAACTTAGAAGCGTTTTTCGCTATCTAGTATAACTTGAATGTATGTGTTATATTGCGGAGGCGATGAGCATGAAAATGATGTTATCTCAACATATTTAGTTCAATTTGAGGAGTCTCAACTCCAATAATAACAATTTATTAAATCAACAATGAGTTCTCGTAAACACGACGTGCCACGGAGTGGCATGTAGTTTCATGGTGCTCATTTTTCAACAATGATTAAAGTCTTTCTTTTCTTCCTAATCTCGACACACGACTGAGAAGATCCTAGTTAAGTTCCTAGTTATATTCTAAAAAGAAACACAGCTAAAGATGGCTGTAATATTGAGTTCAGGGAGGAGCTAGCTAGTGGTGCAATTTCCATGTAGGAAAGCGATTGAAGTTAAATAATACACAGAAGATAATCTGGTTGGTAGCTTCTAGGGTTTTGGTTTTTATTTAATAACAACAATTTCCCCCCATAATGCCAGCATGCATGCACCTTAGCTCCTTTTCCATGTGATTTTCTTTGTTTCGGTCACTTGAATTGAGCAGACAGACAGAAACACGGCCAATATTTGTCTTGCCCGTTTTTGAGCTCTCTTGTCTTCGTCTGACTTCCTTCGTGACAGCAACTGTTGGTTAAGAGAGTTGTTTGCGGCAGAAGCAAATGGGAGTATGGATGATAGCATTTTGGATTTGTCTTTCGACGAATTTGTTGATTGATTGATTGGATCAAATTTTCGTCTTATAATGTACTCAACATTGTCTTAGATAGATCGAATGAACCTTGACTAAGAATAAAACAAACAACATTGTCTAGATTGACAGACATGCTCATCCATTCATCATTGCATACGTGTCAATAACTATTGACTAGTCGCGGGTAAAGGCTTTGCCAAGATGAATATCTTGAGCAAGAATCGATTTCTCCTACGCGTACCCCTGAGAAGGAGGTGACGCGCTTAGGCTTCTCCTCGACGGAGGAAGCGAGCTTGAGTATCCCGTGCGTACCCTTGAAAAAGTGGTAACGCATTTAGACTTCTCCTCGACGGAGGAAGCGGGTTTGGGTGACCCCTTCTGTCAAGGCAGGAATGTTTTGCGAGGGATATGGACAAAATATCGCCTCTCATGGGGACTCGTAAAACGAGCGCCCGACACTTGGATAAAAATCCACGTGTAAGCACTAGGGCTCTTCCGCTAGTCGCGGGTAAAGGCTTTGCCAAGATGAATATCTTGAGCAAGAATCGATTTCTCCTACGCGTACCCCTGAGAAGGAAGTAACGCGCTTAGGCTTCTCCTCGATGGAGGAAGCGAGTCCAGGAAGACTCCATTTGTTTCTCTATGATCACTTTCCGCAGTAGTGAATTTCCATTTCCTTTCTAGGAAGGCGGCGTCATCAACTTCGAACGCTTCTTCTTCTGGTGAGGCGCCTACACCCTCACGTGGGGAGTTCATGGGTGGCACCTCAACTTCCTGCATCTTTCCTCGGAGGCGCCTCCTCTCTTCCGTTGCTTCTTGTGAATTGGGAGGCGCCTGGTCGTTGGCCTTGGTGAGTGCCGTCAACGCGGTCATGACTTGGTCTAGTTGGCCTTGCATGCTCGCCATTTGAAGTGTTTGCTTTTCCCGAAGCTTTGCTAGCTGGCCCTCCAGGCACTCCGTGCCTTCTCTGTCTCCCAATGGATCGTCGTCGTCGGATGCTTCCAAACCTTGGATGGTGAGTGGTTGAAGGTTGATAGCCTCGCGACCAAACCTCATCATCAGCTTCGAACGCTTCTTCTTCTGGTGAGGCGCCTACACCCTCCCGTGGGGAGTTCATGGGTGGCACCTCAACTTCCTGCATCTTTCCTCGGAGGCGCCTCCTCTCTTCCGTTGCTTCTTGTGAATTGGGAGGCGCCTGGTCGTTGGCCTTGGTGAGTGCCGTCAACGCGGTCATGACTTGGTCTAGTTGGCCTTGCATGCTCGCCATTTGAAGTGTTTGCTTTTCCCGAAGCTTTGCTAACTGGCCCTCCAGGCACTCCGTGCCTTCTCTGTCTCCCAATGGATCGTCGTCGTCGGATGCTTCCAAACCTTGGATGGTGAGTGGTTGAGGGTTGATAGCCTCACGACCAACAACTTGCTTGAGAGGGGTCTTCGTAGGTGCTGGACTCCTTTCTTCTCCCTTCTTTGAGTTGGAAGCGTCTTTCAAAGTCATGCTTGGCCCCACGGTGGGCGCCAATTGTTTGAGCCCAATCGACTGGGGGTCGCTCGGGTCCAAGGGGTTTGGGGTGTCAGCCATGACCTTGAGGGGGTAGGCGCCCCGCCTCGTCCGAAGTAGAAAAAGAGAAGAAGTATATAGAGAGAGAAAGTAGAGAGAAGTTAGAGTAAGAGTAGATAGATTGCCATTTATGAGGAGAGAACTCCTATTTATACACATTTGGGGGTTAGGTCGTGGTCTGGGCGCCTGCCAAGCCATAAATGCAGTGGTCGGGCGCCTCAGACTCTCTGACACTGTACATTGTACTTTTGGCAGGGGGTGTCCCCCTGCCCCTGCCCCTAGTCCTTGCTGATGTAAGGTGTCTGGACTTGTCTCCTTGTCTCTTGGCCTTGTCTTTTTCCCTTTGTCTTCTTTTCTTCATTATGTCATTAACTAGGCTCTTGCCTTGGGGATTGCTAATGTACCCTATCAAGTAGTTTAGTAGAACGTTTCTTAAACTTCTAGACAAAACACATCGGTATAGTGAAAATTACGAAGTTTATGATGCATAGCAATTGTGAAACTTTTCGATAACCGAGTACGGAATTACGTTCGTCTGAAGTTTTCGTCAAAGTTACATATCGTCACATTGCATACTGAAATTAGAAGTTCATGCCAATTCTCCTGTTTGACAAATGATAGATTCGACGATAATAGATTCATAACCAAATTTGAGTTTTTTAAGTCCCTGCATTATGAACCAGATATGGTTGTTTCATTGTCATCACTACATCAACAATCGAACACAGGCAGAAAGTCTCATACTTGCAATGGAAAGAAACATCTTCCTCAGCAGATTCTGAACCTGCAGGAACCAGAATCCCATCTCTCATGAGAAGCCTAAGATCCTTCTCAGAATGCTGCGGCAAGTCAGTCGATTGGCTACTCTTTTCATCAGCAGCATGACAATTGTGTTCCGCTCTGCACTCGCAATTACTCGACCCTGATCCACTACCGGGGGAAGCTCTGCAACTCTCTTGTCTCTTGTTCTCGTGAAGATTTCTCACCGACGAAAGGAGATTGACCGACAGAGAAGCAACTAGATCGTGAAAGTCCTCTGCAGTCCACTGGCTAGTAGCGTCATTGGATTCCATTTCATGGTAGATGAATTTCTGGATCGTGCTGTGGAGGGTTTTGAGGCAACTAGGACAACAATGGTACGAGCATAGAACACGAGAATCCGGAGAAGGCTGCTCTTGAGACAAGTCGATACTTCCACCCTGCTCTTCCGGTCGACCATCAGGATTATCAGATGGAATTCTGTGTGGCTGGTCCTCTGACACAAATTTCTCCGGCTCACAGAAGCCATTTTCGGAAGAGGTACGGAGTTCTGTGGATGGACAAACGCCTGAATGTTTTTCTGGTTTGGCATCTTCCAGCTTCATTCCAGGGTCGATTGGCTGATCAGACTGGTCAGCCAGAATTGTGGCTCTCTCGTTGGAATCAGGATCAGCAACGCCATTATTAGCTTCATAATTTGTTCCCATTCCGAGATTTTCCAGAGAGGATATGTGGTGATTGTTGCTTTCTGGCAAATTGGGTTCACCGGTGCTTCTGTGGTGATCTGGAAAATCCGGACCCATCGATGGATATGCTGATTTTGACTGACTGGTGCCATCCAAACTGAAAAAGAACACACTGTTATAATGAGAAATCTTACAACAAGAATGAATCTAATAACAAAAAGGGAAATTTTACCTCAGTAGTCCATAGGCCCAGTTGTTGACCATATCCTCCAGATACGCCACTTGCGAGAGGAGACGAACATAGGCATATTGATCCTTCCCACCTTGAATCTTCTCGTTGACTTGCTCCATCAGAAGCTCAAGGACCTTCCTTACCTCAAAGGAAACCTCCATGACAGATTTGTAGACACCTCTGTAAGCCAACAATCCAACAGCAATTAAACCCCTTGCAAAACCCGACTTCTCTCTGCCTTTCATACTTCCAGA